TCATGTTATTTTTATTATCCTCTAATACTTTAGAGTAATATAGTTTCTTACATCTCCTCAAAATCTCAGTTAATTTGTTCTTATATGACTTATATTTTTCTTCCGCCTTCTTTGATCTGTCCTTTATGAATTCCTTATATAACACATTCTTTTTTTTACATGCATTCTGTAATCCCTTACTCATCCACGGTTTCCCACTGTAATTCCTTTTGTTTTTATACTGCTTACGAGGACAGTTCCTGTCATATACTTTCTTAAATATATTTAAAAATTGCTCATATGCTTTATCTAAGTCTTCCTCTCTGTAAACTGATTCCCAGTCTTGCCCCATGAAATCCTCTTTTAGCCTCCTTACAGCATGTTCATTCGTCACCCTCCTATAGAAAAGATTTGTTTTTGGCCTCTGTTTTCTATACTGGCCCTCATAAACATTCATATGAAGGAAAAGAAAGACTACTCCTCTTTTATTTTATCAGGATCACAATCAAAGATTCACTCAAGTATCACACCAATATTGAAATAAGTTGAAAACAAATGGTCCAAAAACTGTATCTTACAAATTTATCTTTCCAGTCTTTCCTTTTGTCTGATACACAGTAAAATTTTATTAACACACCTCCGTACCCTGTAGTTTGTAGAGTTGTCTAAATGCAGCAGTTTTTCTAATAAGGCAACTTGTCCATTTCGTTTCTCCTTGTGGACATCTGTCTGAGGTGAAGAGGACATTAGTGGAAATTTGTGACAGTGTCAGTTATACAGGCTGAACTCTACTAATTGGTTTACAGGCACTGAACCTTTTAAGATATTTTAAGCTGTAGACATATACAGATGTAGAGTTTATTTGGAAAATTCACCCAAATAGATTTACCCACATTCTAAAAGTCTGTCTTGCATTGTAAGTTTGCATGGAATTTTATCACTTGTAAGTTATGAGTTATGACAAAATGGCAAATACAAAATACAAGGTACTGTCTGTGTCTGTCTTAGGTCCTATGCAGGAGAGCTTGGTCCTAAGCACTGGCCCAACACCAGATATGAGTATGTGATGAAGCTGAAACAGGCAGCACTGAACTTTGCCAGGAAACGCTGGGCTGACTACATCTTGGTACATTGTAAAATGATCTTACTTGTGACTGAAGTGTAAGATTTATACATCAGTAGCCTCCTTGATTTGTCTGATGAAATGTGTTCATTCTTTCCTGCTAGTATGTTATCCAAGAAAATGCTTTGGCAACCATCGTTCTGGTGAAAACAGAAACTACAATGGCTCCTCTCTTTCCTTTGCTTTCTCCTGTGTGTCTCTGTTTCAGTATGCTGATACAGATAATATCCTCACCAATCCAGACACTATCAACCTGCTTATAGCGGAGAACAAGTCAGTGATCGCTCCCATGCTGGACTCTCAGGGAGCATACTCCAACTACTGGTGTGGTATCACTCCACAGGTGAGCAGCACACTATCTGCTGAAAGGTACACGCGAGAAAAAGTCATCTGAGTTAGACACATGGACAACCAGTACACGAAGAGTTTAGTTGTGTTCAAAGTAATCATACTTTTTTACATTTCTGTGTGATCACTTATTTAGGGATATTATCGTCGGACAGCAGAGTACTTCCCTACCCGTTACCGTCACAGAATGGGCTGCTTTCCAGTACCCATGGTCCACTCAACCATGCTACTGGATTTAAGGAAGGAGGGCATGAAGAATCTGGCGTTCTACCCTCCTCACAAGGACTACTCATGGCCCTACGACGACATCATTGTGTTTGCCTTCTCCTGCCGAGCTGCAGGTGATTGTTTGGAGTTACAATTTTGTAATGGCATGGACTTAAAGACAAGTTTACTCAAGCAAGTAATGCATGTGTAAATACATTTTTTTTTATTGTAGATTAATTTGTCTTCATTTTCCATTCATTCATTCATGATCAATTCACCCTTATGGCTACTCAGAAATACAGATGTACCTGTGCAACAAGGAGCGCTACGGCTACCTAAACGCCCCAGCCAAACCTCACCAGACCTTGGAAGATGATCGCCTCAACTTTGTCCATCTCCACCTTGAATCCATGAGTAAGAAGAGACTGTATCTTCTCGCTGTTAATATACAAACTGATACACAGAATGAAAAATATATAAAAAGCAATAAACAGCATTCATTTGTTATTCACTTGTCTTCTCAGCCACATCTGCACATGTTCATTTTGTGTAGTTTCAGCTGTATTTTTCTCATTTGTGTTATTCTCTACTGACTTGTGTCCCCCGTTTGTCTAACAGTTGATGGTCCTCCCATGTACCCCTCTCGCTTTGTCCACATGTTCCCCAAACAGAGAGACCTCATGGGCTTTGATGAGGTGAGAGACACTGCATTGTTTGTCAGAATGTTGCATGTTTTGGAAACACAGTCATCAAATATATTGAAATGCTGTATACATACTTATATAAAGTAAAATGATTTAGAATTTAGAAAGTGTTAGAATCTTAGCATTGGATAAACACTATTTTTGATATTTAGCCCAATTCCTGAGTTAGTAAAGATCCTGGCAAAGTCTATTCTCTTCACATAAACTTTTAATTAAATGTTTAACTGGAAAGGAATTCAACTCTTTTTCAGCACCATCTGGAATAAGTCAGAAGCATGTTATTACTGAAAAGTTTTCTCCAGATGAATGCGGCATAAGAAAGGGCAGAATCTACAGGAGACTTGTTTGCAGAAGTCACAGACAGAGGTTAATGATATATGTGGCAGCTTTAACATGCAGTTTACAGAGTTTAATAACAATTTGTCCTCCTGTTATCAGATATATTTGATAAATCTACGACGCCGTCCAGACCGTAGAGACCGGATGTTGTTCTCTCTGAATGAGCTGGAGGTTGACGTCAAGGTGGTGGATGCCATAGATGGAAAGTAAGTACTATACTCAGTACGATAACAAAACTCAGCTGGCTTAGATGGGAAGTGTTTTTTGAGTGCTTCAGTGAAAAGGAGAGAAAAATCAATCCCAAAATTGCAGCTGCTAAGAGGAAATGTAAATTGGAGAACGGCTGCTGAAAAGGAAAGAAAATTCTTTACAGGAATATACTGCTATATCAGCTCATTTTTCTTTCCTCAGCTCTCATTTTCTGCATTTCCAGTCAGTTTTCTTATTTGAAAGGTAGCAAATAAGGGAAAAACATATGCTTATAAATCTTCAAAAACCCAATTTATAGACAGTTATATTACTCCACTACAAATAATAGCTCCATCTAGACTTATTTATTGTGGTGCTGGACATGGTGAAGAATGGTCTGTTCTGGCATTATCTGACAAAGCTCTCTATAATTCCAGCACTAAGATTCTTTTATAAAACAGCGTGCAGGTGACGGTGGACAACGTGCATTCAGGTTGCCTGTGGATATATGGATTATAATGCCTGTGTTTGTGTGTGTACTCAGTGCATTGAACAGCAGTGACATTAAGATCCTGGGCGTTGATCTGCTGCCAGGCTATTATGACCCAGTCTCTGGACGCACCCTAACAAAAGGAGAGGTGGGCTGCTTCCTCAGCCACTTCTACATCTGGAAGGAGGTGAGGGGACATCTGCGTTATACATCAAGGTCTTTAACAACATGACTGACATTGGTTTGCAGAGACCAATTAATAATTAAGCATAAAGTTATAAATAAAGAAAAAAACAGTGTTAAGTACTGAATATCAAAGATCCAAGACTCATTTTAATATATTAAATAACTCCTTTCATGGTTTGTCATCTTTTACGTTGCTGTTAAAAAAAGAGGACATCAATAGATTTGATTTGAAAAGTTTAACCAGCTTGGAACTGGATCCTAAAATGGAGCCAACACTCTTAGTTCATATTGACAGATGGCCTTTTTGAGTTTCATCCCTCTGTATTAGTGTCATGTTTTTTGTTGTTTAATAACAAAATCTTGTGTTTTCCCTGTAATCCTCACCCATCTCTTAGTCATTCTGAACTAAAATGATTTTCCCTGTCCTCCTCAGATGGTGGACATGCAGATGGATAAAGCACTGATCTTTGAAGACGACGTCCGTTTCCAGGCCAACTTCAAACGACGAGTCCTCAGACTGATGGAGGAGGTGGAGCAGATGGAGCTGGACTGGGACATCATGTGAGATATTTTAATTGGGTTAGGTTAGACTAGAATGGTTAAGTTAAGCTATGCAGTATCCTTAAAACTATGCTGTGTGTGCATGTGTTGAGGAATCAGGTCAGGACTCGTGCAGCCTACATCACTCATCGTTTATTTAAACACAGGTTAATGTTGTCAGGGTGGAAGTATTTCTTTCTGCATGTCTGTATACCAGTTCTGATGTGTATGTGTGTGTCAGTGTTTGAGTGGTTCAGCTTTTAAATCACATGTTTAACTGATTTCCTACTGCAAGGATTAGGCGAACGTTCAGGCACATGATTACAGTATTTTGAAAGTATGTATCAGCAGGAGGATGGGATGTGTACAAGCCTAGTTTTTTAATGTGTATTGAGGCTTTCTGAAAACAGTTAGGCACAGTGACAAGAAAACTGGTTAAAAAATGTCTGTCAGCAATGAACACCAAAACTGCTAAAGACTTAGGAACTCATATGTTTTGGATATTACTTCTTTTCCTCTTCACAATAGTTGTTGTCCCCCTTTTTCATTGGGATTTTATGGTGCTGCAGATACTTCGGCAGGAAGCAGGTGAATCCTGGGAACGAGGAGCCAGTGGAGGGCATTCGTAACTTGGTGGTGGCCGACTACTCATACTGGACTCTAGCCTATGCCATCTCCTTGCAGGGAGCTCAAAAACTAGTCAATGCTGAGCCGCTTTCCAAGATGCTGCCTATCGATGAATTCCTCCCCATCATGTATGACAAACATCCCAAGTACGTATCACAGCACCACTGAATCCACTGGCAGGAACGTGATCACCTGTTGCTCTTATACATGCACACCTACTCTGCACACAACATAATATAGAGTAGTTCATATTTTTCTTCTTGTAACCATTGACCTTGATGAATGTTCTGGTGTTATGATACTGTGTAGTTGTTTTTTTACCAATCATATCTTCTAAGATAAAACCTGTCTTTCAGCGCCCTACAGCCTCCCACTCCTCCCAGACTTCGAAAGCGAAGACAAGGATGTTAGCGTGTTTGCATTTAGCTGAAAACGTCCACCGTTCTTCTTTGCATACATCTACTAATTCCTCTGTCTCATGCCCCCCATAGCCCAAACCACATGGTTGTACATGTAATTTGTGGTTTATTTTAAAGATGTTGTGGATTGCATTCATTGTGGCATCTTCATCTCAGAGCTCCAAAGTCCTCCAATGGCTGCATGTGTATGCAATCCCGGCCCCATTTCTCTTGGTAATATCCCTGACATGAATCCCCTGACCATAAAACTTTCCTCATCATTCCGCATTGGGGATTTAGCAGCATAAATGAAACACATATGAAGCACTGACTGTTAGAGATGAAATGGACTAGAAGGCTTGGCAATGTCTTTGTGCTCTATCATTTGTGGAAAACTGGCTTAAAGCCAGCCCACTCCCTCTGTTCTCATGTTTTCGCTCTCTCACCTCTGTGATGCTAATTTAATTTTCTTGACTGACTGCACACTGCACATTGGTCATGTTAAGAGTAACTCCACTGTCTGAAAGTCGGCCTCCGTCGTCACAAAATACCAGTTGTATTAATGATTACATTTTAGGAAGGTTGCACTAATATGAACCTCCGCTTTCTAAACTCTTATTAGGATTTATATTATTTGATTGTGACATATTAAGTGTGTTTTAAAGTTTCAAATAAATAAAATCTATAACAGCTGTGTCACTGTTCTCTCTCTGCAGTGAGGACTACAAGTCCCATTTCCCCAACAGAAACGTACAAGCCTTCAGTGCACACCCCCTCCTGGTCCAGCCGTGTCATTACGCCGGTGATCCTGAGTGGGTGAGCGACACAGAGACCTCGACTCTGTGGGACGATGACTCAGTACAAACCGACTGGAGGGGTTCCCACAAGACCCTGAAAGGGGCTGCGTCACCACCTGAGGTGCTATCAGCTGCCCACAGGAATGAGCTTTAGTGCAGAGCAGACGTAGCTGTGGAGAACCTGCAGGTCAGAGGGCCATGGGGTCAGAGAGACAGATGCTGAGAGAGCATCTCAGACTCTGTTTCAGCCCTCTCTGTGTCACACCACTGACATACTCAGTATCACTTAACCTGGACTGATGTTTTCATGTTACCAAGCATATGGCACAAGATGATATTTAGGGGAAAACATTTTTAATGAGAGTTTGTACAGTTTGTGTGGCTGATGCCAAGAGCATTTTAGCATTTTTGTTTGAATGTATGCTTGTGATACTGTGTGCTTGTGATTACATGTTTGTGATGCTAATTACGGAGCTTTGAAATGGAAACCAGAGAGCCAGCTCTACAAAGACTTTTATCTGTTATTCTGTTGATTACAGACTGAGACTCTGGACAGACGTCTGGCACAGTTATTGATATTATGTCTCTCTATCTGTTTGGTTTGAGATTATTACATTTATCTGTCTGTTCTTTTGTCCATTTGCGTATCAGAACTGATTAGCGTGATACATTTGTATCTAGCACAAAGCTGAAGCCAGTGCATATTTTGCTTGGCTTCATTAACAAATGATGTACTTCATGGTTTTCATATGGTACCGAATTGTATTTATGATGTTTTTGTGTTAGTGAACTTAACACAGTGAATGTTTCTCTTAGAGCTAATTAAGCTTGATTTGTTTTTTTTACATCAAGTCATTAACAGAGCTGAAATAACCTTGAATTATTGGACTACCTTTGACTCTAAGGCTGTTTTTTAAGTTAAATTAGGTCAATTAAAATTTTGGATTTCAAGGTCAGAATCGGTATAAATTTATTTGGCACACTCCGTTTGTCTGCCATTGTGCTCCCACATTTTCTTTCCACTCCGAATATTACATTTTATGTTCTCAGATGTTTGTTTATTTGGGCTTCAAAATGACATAATTTATGATTTTTGAGATAAAATCATCAAATATGTATAAGCTATCTAAGACTATAATACACCAAAGGTATATCTGACATTCTGTAAAGTAAAATAACAAGCGGTTAACTTTGTCAGATTCATATGATGTGAATTAAGTCAACACTAATTAGAAACAAAATTCCTGTATGAGGTTTCAGGCATTTTCATTATCTATACCGCTTATCCTAACGAGGGTCATGGGGGATCTGGAGCCAATCCCAGCTGACATTGGGGTAAGAGGCAGGGAAAAACAACCACACACACACTCACTCCCTCCTACGGGCAATTTAGAGTCACCAGTCAGCCTAAGCTGCATGTTTTTGGACTGTGTGAGGAAGCTGGAGAGAACCCACACAGACCCAGGGAGAACCCGGAACCTTCTTGCTGTGAGACAACAACACTAACCACCATGTCACCATGCCACTCGCTATATATTCTTGGTATTATAATACTACACAGTGATTTCACAAGCCAAGAGACACATTTTATGTTTTATCATGTATGATTATTATGTTATACTGTACATGCTTCACTGGGATAATCAAACAAACTTGGTCAAATTTATATTTATATGCCTAGATGTCAGTTCCACTTTTTGGGATTGGGTGTAGCTTTGGTTCATCTGGTGTTAAACATCACTTCCAATTTTTGCAGAACTACTTTTTGGAAGAGAGCCAAATACTATGTCTTGTTTAAAAAAAGTATAAATGACCACATGTAGTAGAAAAGGTTTTAAAATGCAACATTAAACACAACTTTCAGTAACCTCCGTGTAGCATCACTGGGCTCTAGGAATGTGGTGATGCTTTGTCTGAACAGGGTTGCAATGCAAGTCACTAATGTAACTCTAAACAAAAAGTACATTGCTCTGTTTCCTTATGCATTTTTAATGGTCTGAATTCATGTAATGGTTTTTTGTTGCCATGTGTGTTGCATATGGCTTAATTTATGTGTAGATTCTTGATGTGATTGACAGATGAGACAAAACGATATAGGACAGACATCGCAGTGCAATGGCCTTTCTCTAAATGTCTTTGAGCAATACATTAATACTCAGGTATTATAAATCAGAGTGTTAGGGAGACTGTATAAAAAGCCTTTCAAATGTTAATAAAAAGTTGTTTTTACAATTGTTTTTTTCACTTCATATGAATGTTGCAATGCCAAATGTTGTACTGACAAAAATCCACCACAGCGGGCTGTCATCATTTTTCATGCAATAACCAGGTGAACCATGCAAAGTCGGATATACTGGATTTCATCAAAATCTTTAGAAAGACAGTTGCAGATTCCCACTTCACTTTAAAGAAACCACAAACATTGTCTTAATCTCTTGGTTTTCTCTGTAACACTGTCACAGATCAGACTAAATGTAACACACACACACACATTAGCTACAGTTCCTAGATTGAGCTCCTGTCCTGTTCAAGGTTGTCTGAACTGGAGAGACTGAGGCTGTCACAGGAGGGCACCTAAACTCAACATCTCATTGGCTGCTGTTTCGGAGGTGGGGATTTATGAGGTCAACTTGGCAGGCAGAAAAATTACATTTATGGCTCACAGATAAAGAGCCTAATGTTTGAGTTAGGTACTGTAGGTAGTGCTGGTTGGTGTTTAAAAATGTTTTCTCTTTCTGTCTTTCTCAGCAGTTACTCCTCTACCTCAAGATCACCACAGCCACGTATCGAATGCCTCTCACACACAATGTTGGCCCTGCCGAGCTGATGTTCTACTTCTGCTTGGTTTAGCCTTTGGACCTCAAGGACTTTAAACAGCAGCTGCTACCCTGACATCCTCCACCACACATGCACACAGTTACTGAATCTATATAGAACATACAAATGGACTGTTTCAGTGTCACAAAGAAGCTGCCAATCTTATGTTCCCTTTTCCACATGTGAAAGATTACAGAAGAACCAAAGAAACCAGGTTTTATTTATATGTCTATAAAATAATATAATAAAATTGGACAAGCGGTATAGACGTTATAGATAATGGATGGATGGAATAGTAAAACAATAAAAAGTGCATAATAACTATAGGCCTAACCCTATAAGCCCTGTTAGGTATTATTTATTTAGGAAGTACTACTTATTTATTTGTTAGTTTGTTGGGTTGGCCCGCCCCCTTTTGCGTAAACATGTTGGCTTACTGGGTGAGGAGGGGGTAGGGATTACTAGTGTAGAGCAGCTGTGGCTCACACCTCCTGACAGCTGCTGGGCTGCAGTTCCTAGGACGCGTTTTAAAGCGGTGTCGCCCTCTGGTTCACAAAGCTACTCGGTTGTTTTGTCGTGACGCCGCTCCCTTCTTTCAGCAAACTGTTTTCCCACTTTTTAGATCTTGCATCGAGTATATCTGAGGCAATCTGTAATAGGGGGAATCGAGTGTAAGTGTGCATGTGGAAAGCGAACTGCTTTCATGCAAAAAAGTCCGCCTGCTTGCGGGTTTGGAGTGATCACATGTTTTGCCACGTTACTGGGTGCAGCAGTTGGGGCTGTTTTTTTTTTTGGGACGTGACGTTTCCGCTCAGAGACGTGCAGTCTGTTTTAATGTACATGTTAATGTGCATGTTATTGTCTATTCTCAAGTAGAAGAAAGTGTCAGTTTGTGTTGTGAAAATGCTGTGAAAGCTATACAGCGCACAAGAAGCGCATGTCCAAGCGGTTTCTGATGATACTGCACCACAGCTGCTCCGCTTGTCATGCAGCAGGTTTTTACACATCTCATATGAAGTTTTATTTTTTCTCAGGCTACAGTTCATTTATCGGCTGTTTAATTGTTAGGGCTGCTGAGTCCCTATTGGAACTGTCCTGGTCATGGCATCTGGCTTGGTCCCTCTGCAAACATCAGCAATGTGGCTCAGGAAACATTTAACCCAGCGATGGTTCTACCTTAAAACAGAGTACTGTCATTCACTTTAGAGGAACTTTGTTTTTACACTTGTTTTGGGAGTTGAGGTTGCAGCCAACTGCAGGTTGGAAACACTGGTGGTAGAAATCTAGGACACAAATTGAAGTCGGTGGTTGGTTGTTATAAGTTGGTGTTTAATATTTTAGAAAGGCTGTTTAACCTAACTGTTCTTGAACTATTGCACCACGCGGAGTGCAAAATTCCATGTGGTGCAGTGGTTGACAATTATGGTTTTGAACAAGTGAGAGAACAAGCAAATACAGAACATACTGTAGTCATGGCCAAAAGTTTGGGCAGTGATATAGATTTTCTGTTTTCAAACTTTGGTGCTTACATGTTTTTTTAAAGATTTTTTTTTCTTCAATTTGATGCAAAGCAATGCTAGCTGCATGAGTTTTTTTGTGAGTAACCACTGCTAATCTAAGATGAAAATGTTTCAAAGACCTCCTCTCTCTTTTTAATGCAACTAGTTCTGAGACTTCAAATGAATGATAATCTTTCACACTTTCTCCTGATAATATACCAAAATTAGGTTATCAGATCCTTTATGTCAGGGCCAAAATAAAGTAAAAATTGGGATTTTGTGGTGAAGTTAAGTTATATGCCAATGTAGCTCTTTACAATTCATTAAAAAGCCTCTGATTACTCTGCACAGTGGTATTTAGAAAATCTGATGCACTACCAAAACACTGAACTGGCAAAGTTTGTAAAATCTGATAATTGAACCTCTGTTAAAACTTTTGGCCATGACTATAATGTCATCTGTCATGTAGTTTATAAAAAATTTTTTTGGCACACTTTTTTTTTTAAAACTAACTTTGAAACAAATTGCATTGTAGATCACTTTATTGTGGGACCTTGTACATTTTGTATGCTTCAGTAGCATCACTCTGTCCCTCTTTACTGTTCTCAGGAGCCATGGCCTTCCTAGGAGGCGCTGTTCGGCGGGTGGTGTCAGCAGTGCGACCTCCTCTTTCTCCCTTGTGCCATAGAAATGCTCGGTTCTACAGTTCAGAGCCCACCAAGGAAAAAAGTGTTCCCTATGAGAAGACCCTCAAACCAGAGGATGGAGCCTCTTGTGGGCCCACTAAACCTTTACCCAGGTCAGTGAATGGATAGAGGGTTAACTATTATGTTCTGTAGAAGTAACTGCACACATCCAGTAGTTTTTGAAATTCAGTTTTTGAAAGATCAGCATCTATTTGGATTTTTCTTATAACACAGGACAGTGTGTTTAATTCAGATTCCTTTAAGTTGGTTTGATTCAGTGATTTGTGTTTCTGATATGAGTTTTTTAAGAGTTATCTCACTTTGAGAGTCATTTTCTCAGCTCACCTGTAGTTGTCTGCTGCCTGCCTCAGGTCAGCGGATGTGGTGGTGATCGGAGGAGGCAGTCTGGGCTGTCAGACCATCTACCACCTGGCTAAAATGGGTATGACCAATGTAGTTCTGCTGGAGAGAGACAGACTCACTGCTGGCACCACCTGGCACACTGCAGGTAACATGGTGTAAAGAGTGTGTATTTACCTGAGCTGCCGAAATACTGATCACACAAATGTTCTGGCTATTTTAATATTCTTTTAATTTTGCAATAATAGCATGATTTCAGCCCATGGGATAACATTGTAAATACATCTTACAGCATGTTTGTATGTTGACATGCACGTGTGCTCGTGTGTGAGGAAGATGTACAAAATGTCCATGTGTTTGTTTGCTAGGCCTGCTGTGGCAGCTCCGTCCCAGTGATGTTGAGGTGGAGCTGTTGGCACACACCAGGAATGTGGTCAGCAAAGATCTGGAGGAGGAGACGGGTCTCCACACCGGCTGGATCCAGAATGGAGGACTCTTCATTGCCTCCAACAAGCAGAGACTGGATGAGTACAAGCGCCTCATGTCGGTAAGAATAAAGATGGCATGGGTTTGGCCATGAGGAAAGGACAGATGGTTGGGTTAAGAGATTGCATGGTATTGTGTACACAAGGCTTTGATTAGCGCTATGGTGGATTTTACAGTAAGTGATATCCTTTGTAGAATTATGAACAATTGGTACTGTTCACATTTAATGGGAAGACTTTCATTTTTTGTTGCAACAACAACAGCATGAAACTTGGACTAATCTGAGGAAATACTTTGCAGAATAAACATTTCAAAACAAAGACTCACACATCAAACTTCTTTTAATGCATTTGTTTGCAGAGGAATCAAACAAAAAATGCTCAGCACCTTTGGAGATATTGACCTGGCCAGCATTTCCTAATGCTAGTATACTGTACCTTCTGATATACAAGCCTGATTGTACATGTCTGCTAAATGTTTTTCAAATGCCACTGCTCCTGCATTGAGCCAAGGTCTTTTAAATATGTAATTAACTGACATAAGATGACATCATTATGGCTTAAAATGGTTTCCATAGAGACAAGTGTCACCGGGTCCACTACAGTGTAGGTGGCTGTAAATGCTAACAGGTGTAGAGGTGTTAGGACACGTGTGTGAGATCAAAAAGACTTCAGACAGAGAAAGTATTGTGGTGGCAGCAGTCAGGCAGGTTGAAAGGAAAGATCATTAAACACAGATGTTTATTCTTGTATTTAAAATAATTTTCAGTTATACATCTAAATTTGTCTGTTAATACAAAAAGCTTTTCACTCTGAGTCCAAATGCTTCACAAAAGAAAGCCAAGTTTCTGTGCCAGAGATGACTCTGATTACTGACCTGCTTCATGTAAACACAGATTTTATAATATAAATATACTGATTTTCTGTTGCTTAGAGTGCTGTCACAAAATAACAGCTCATAAATAATTTAATTATGGAGTTAATGAGCCCTGTTATCATAATTATTAAAATACAGTACATGATGATAACCTGGTGTGTGCGTACACCACAGACTCCCCCTGTGGAGCTAGTGAGCAGGTTTTAAAGAAATTAATGGAGTAAAACAGATTTTCAGCTACTTTTAATGTTTGGGTTTATAATTGCTCAACGCAAGGAGGTGGCTCATGAGGTGAAAAGGTTTTATTTGCTTGATTATATGAGGTATGACGTTCTCTTCACCTGAATAAAATGTAATGCAAAACTGTATCCAATCACAAAAAGCGGTAAAAATATTGAAACCAACAAACCTTTGTTATAACAACAGGAAGAAAGATAATCAGTTTATCTTCAGATCTTTTCTTGTGAAGCACTTGTAGGAGTAGTTGTTGCTTTTTTGGTTTTAATTAAAAACATTCATGGTGTGGATGATCCCCTCTTCACAACCACTAAAACAGATCATATCCCTGTGTCTCTAGCTGGGTAAAGTTTATGGTATTGAGTCCCATGTCCTGTCGCCTGCGGAGACCAAGGATCTGTATCCTCTGATGAATGTTGATGATCTGTATGGAACTCTGTATGTACCTAAAGATGGCACCATGGACCCAGCAGGCACCTGTACCACTCTGACCAGAGCTGCTTCCTCTAGGGGAGCCATGGTAATGTGTACTGATCTGCTTGTTTACTTGTTGGACCATTAATGCATATCATATATGAAAGTGAGTGTATACAATTGCTATTGCAGTCGAGTCCACCAAATAAAGATTGTCCTCTGGACTCTAGAGTGTATTTTTTTGTTTTAAAAATGGGTGCTTCAGTATGCCAAAAGCTGCAATTAGAAACTTATATAATTCCGAGCACTGATGCAGGGTTTAGTTTTCTGCTTTGCACACTTTTCTGAGCACTTTGCACCATGTCACAGCATGTTAAATGCCCACTTATAGTAAATGCTACACATTTGAACACAACAAATGGCTTGAAAGGAAATACTGAAAATAATAGTACAGTGACTCCTGCAAAGGTAGAGCAGTTGCATGTCAATAACTCTGCATTTTCCTCTTTAAAACAGGTGATCGAGAACTGCCCTGTGACTGGTATTAAAGTGCAGACAGACGACCTCGGTGTGAAGACGGTGAAGGCAGTGGAGACCCCGCATGGGACCATTGAGACGTCTTGTGTGGTGAACTGTGCAGGTGAGATTCAAACATGAGCAGCTAACTAATCATTCCAAAGACAACTGACTATCAGGTGAAACATGCAATAATGCAACTCATTGAGATGTAAGGAGTATTTGTTGGATGCATGCGTTTAAAACCGATGTTGCAAAGAGATTTCATTCAAAATCTGTGTTTTAAACATGATTCATTGTATCGGTGTTTTTTGTCTAAATTGCTTTTCTTCAGAATTCAAGATGATGATTGTGTACTGTTTGTGTGTTATATGCAGGTGTATGGGCTACCCAGCTGGGGGAAATGGCTGGAGTTAAGGTTCCTCTCATCGCTATGCATCATGCCTATGTGGTGACAGAGAGAATTGAAGGCATACAGGTACAACCGCTGTCTGCCATATCTGGACAGCTTGAATGTGTTTAATCACATACGACATTATAGTAAAAATAAAATACTGTTGCTGTTTGTTTATTTATGTGGCTCATACAGAATGGATGGGGAAGGGGACACAAAAGACACCTTTCTGACTTATTTAAATCATTTCTGGCCAAACATACTCCAGATTTGAGCTGTTTTTGTTTGTTTCATTATTAAGTCATTTTAATTGCATAGTGCCTCTTATTAACTCCACCAAATGACTTATTGAGCTTTTGTGCTCTTCATCAGGTACTATTGATACCTAACGAATAGCTATAGTGTGTTTGTTAAATCTTCTGGTTTCCATTTTGGCAGTTCCTTGGGTGGACATTTGTTGATATAAACCACCTTTATGTCTCCTATAATGTTAATTTAACAAAAAATCCTTTATCTGTCAGTATAAAGCTTGTTTGACCAACAGGGGGCACTGTGATCATACACATTTCAGCATACAGTGCTGTTAGCGTGTGCTTGTTTGTGAAAGGGAGATGGTTTTGTTTGTAATGTTATGTATGTTTGGGAAGGGCTCTGATACAGATACAGCATGTATCTGTCTGGGTTTGTGTACATGCTCCACTGTGATTGTGAGTCTTGTGTGTGTTAGATTTAGTTAGTGTACACATGATTAACTGTGCTTGTCCTCTAGAGGCTGAATGGGCTGTGAGAGCTTCCTAGTGTTATGTAGTTTAAGAGCGGCATTACTGCTGCATCATGTACACAGAATTCAGCCCTCATACAAAATTATACAGCCACACAATTGGATACCATGAGGAAATCTGTTCCCACCAGAGTGTGCAGCACCTGTCGGGTCACACATGTCGTGCTGATTGCATGTCAGTGTGTGGGAAAAGACGTTTTTGTTCTGGGTGGTTGCAGTGGCTTTAAATGAAAAGATACCAGACTTGCTGCTGTTTCCTGGTATTTGTTTCCATCTGTGTGAGTACATGGGCAGACTATATTGCAGTGCTCTGTACTGATCACATGGAGTTTACTGCCTCAGTGTACTCAGCAGTGAAGAGAGAAAATGAGCACTGTGGGTTTTATTATATGTAGCGAACTGCTTTCTAAATGTCATCTCGTTCATTGGTATTTTGGTTTTGTACCCAGAGAGCCAGTTGACTTTGGAATAAAAAGCCCTCATGACGCAATGAATACAAATGACACAAGATGCTTAAAGTGTAACTATTCAGTAGACACTTGCAAGAATATGTACTGGGACAGAAGAAGATGAGTGCCTCCCTCTGCTCTGTTTTGAAAGAGGATTTCATGGTTTGTCAGTCCCTGTGATGCCACACATAAAGAGATGTTATGTTTTGTTAAGGTATGTCAAGATGTGTACCACCGGTGCTGTAAAGGGTTGTTTTCTTTTTTTTTTTTTTGTGTGTGGTTGTTGTATACTCTGTTCTGTACATATGCCATGGTGTAACGTATCAAAGTACTGAGTACCATGGTTGTAAGAAACATAATGCTGAAATGAAGTTATTCATTCATCATGAATTATTTTAGTTGTAGCTGTCAATCACACAGTCATACATTTCTAGTCAGATTTAGGCTTCAATATCTTGTGTTGTGCATTTGTCATTGTTAGACATTTTAAAAGGCAAAAAATTAAATGATCAATAAGAAAAATGAAAGTGAAAACTCTTCACATAAATGACCCTAATATTTACTGATCACTGAAGAGCAGTGTTTTTGGACTGGTTCAGGTTTTGGTCACTGAATTATTCCATTTTACTCTTCACTCTTTTCAGAACATGCCAAATGTCAGAGACCATGATGCATCAGTGTACCTGCGCCTCCAAGGTGACGCCCTGTCTGTCGGTGGTTATGAACACAACCCCATCTTCTGGGAGGAGGTAAGCCTGGATATTATTTAGTGATTAACCAACTCGTACTTGTCGGTAGCTTTGAGCAAGACATAGCTTTTCTGAAACCTCGCATATTGAATGTCTGAATGAGAAACATAATGTAAGGTCTGTTTTTGTTTGACATAAAATCAAATACTTCAGTTAGGCAGCTGAATAAACCTTAATCCTGTTTAAATACTTCTCATTTTTTGTGTCAGTTTCCTCATCTGCTATTCAGTTCATTTTTTTTTCTCTTGTTTTCATCACTTGCTGCTGTTTTTGTTTGTTACTAATGCATTAGCTGAGGTATGGTTGTAGTTACTATTTTTATTATTTTATTAACTTATGTCTGAACTGAAAAGGTTATTGAATTTCCTACTAGGGTAAATAAAGCTGACTGAAACCTTGAACTATAGTCACAAGAGGATTCCTAAGACTCTGCTGTGTGTGTATTCACTAATGTTTCTAACAGCAGCAGAAGGAAGTATTCATATCCTTTATGCAAATAAAAATAGCAAATCTGAATTATTGCAAGTCGGAGAGATGCAGAATTAGCAGGGAAACAGAAAGAATTGAGCAGGATCGATGGCTTGGGAGAGACAGACAGAAGTGTGGTGTGTGTGTGTAGGTCAAAGAGCAAAGCTAATTAGACACTCCAGCTGAGTGTCAGTACTCAGTAATGATGGAGAATCTTTGTTCATATGTAAAGCAGCTTCCGTCAGCTCACAAATAGAAGTGACATTCAAACTGAAAGTGTCAAACTGTGTCAAGTGCACACTTGTTTTTTCTGTCTCCAAGTGTAAAAAACAAAAACAAAAACCTTTATTGCACATTTTACAAAATCCTGAATTGTACACTGTGTGTTCACTTTGCATAAAAACCTGAGACAATTCTGAGAAGTAATCTATAATTTTAACTTTTTTTTAACCTACTTGGGGGGATTTTGGTGTGTATTCAATTGCTAATTTATATTTACTTGCAAGTTCTCATCTTTTTTTTTATGCCCCTGTAAGAGCAGCTATACTTATAAAAGCTTTATGATTTGTAAGAATTGGTGGTGGTGCTTAAAAACATCCCAAAATGCAAAGCTGTTATTTGGCACACTTGTTTTGCCAGTATTAGAAATTCATCACATAGATTTTTACTTTTAAGGTTGCAGTCATTAAAAAAAAAACATATTTCCCCCCAGGTATCTGATAAGTTTGCCTTCAGCTTGTTTGACCTGGACTGGGATGTATTCATGCAGCATATTGAGGGTGCAATCAATAGAGTTCCTGCTTTGGAGCAGACCGGCATCAAGTCCACTGTTTGTGGACCAGGTACATATACACACACTAGATCCCCAGAAAGCTCAACATTTTGCATATTCTGCTCAGCTTCTTGCACATAACATTATGTATTACTGTAGGGAACAAGTAACTCATATCACTTCTTATATTGGACATATTCAAATTTAAAAAGGAGATCTCTTCATCTGTGAAATTTCTTATTCACCGCTTCCATACTGCGCTCACTCATGAATAGCAGAATTAGCAGATTATGTGTTGTTTATAGAAGAAATAGTTTGATTAGCCTAAGCCTGACTTCTTCCAGGCAATATGCTGCTGATGTGGTTGAGTGAATCGGTCTGTAGCTGTGGTGGCTTATGAGTTTCAGTATTGAATTGGGCTTTTCATCACCATAGTGTGATGTAGCTGTTGAAAGAGTTGGAATAACTTTGTGAGGGGAAACAAGTGACAACTGAAACATACTTTTATCGAAATACATACACATTTATAAACAGGTGTGAAATAGAGAAGGATATCAGAATAATGCAGAATCAGAGTCATTAACATTAGAGATGTACAGAGAGAAATAAAAACAAGTAGAGGTGTAAAGGAGGAGAGATGAAATGTGGAGAAAAGGATGGAAACTAGGGTAAAATGAAGGAGAATTTAAAAAAGAATGCTGCTGTTTTTGAATATCTCTGTCCTCAGTTGCTTCCTTTGTTAGAGAGCAGGCTGAACAGAGCAGAAATCTCTGATATGATACCTGATAAATCTCACATAGAAAAGTGTTTTGGTAGCTCACGTCTTCAATGGGTTGCTTTCTTTTCACATATTTAGCAGGTCATTGAATGAGACTGATGAACATCTTTATACCATCATTCACAGCAGACCATAAACCTCTGATGGGAGAAGCACCAGAGGTCAGAGGTTTCTTCCTGGGCTGTGGCTTCAACAGTGCTGGTAAGTGCTGCAGGGGTGGAAAGACTGGAGAAAAAAGGGTTCAGGGGTGGGGGGGTTCATTTTAAACAACAGAATGTAATGATAGTGAAATGAGAAGTGTATGAAGAAGAGTGTAAAGAACTATCTAGTCAGACTATAACAAAATAATACATGCAACTCAGTTCTTTGAATGCTTCGTGCTTTTAAAGTTTCCACTGAGGAAACTACTGCGTGAAATATTAGAGCTAGAAGTGTTAAAGTAATCTTCAAGAAAGAAAAATGGCAGGGCAAAAACAAGCGAGGAGAAATGGCTGAGGAGTGTTTTTCCTAGACTTTGACCTAGCCCTTGCCAATCTCTGTGGACACTTGAGGTACAAATGAATAATGGAGTACTTTATATTTTTCACTGAGTTCACGGAGGACACACACACGCGTGCGCACAAACAACAAACCAAGTCACTCCATTACTTCCCTCACATATGATGTAACCTCTGACATTAGACTGAAAAACAGCAATCTGAAAAACAGAGAGAAAGGGGGTGAAAAGGCTAATCACCCTCAGTGTTAACAGTTGAGAGAAAGCTTTATTATTTTTTTGCTTAAGTAGAAAACCACAATGTTGAGTTGTTGTACCACGAGCTTGAGGTGGAGCGCTAATGAGTGAGCACACAGTAGGTTCATGTATAATTGCACAGACTTTCCTTCTGCCTTTTTTTTGCTTCAGAGGCATAATGTTTTAAGGTGCTAGTTCCTTGCAAATCGGTGATGGATCTTTGCTGTTCTTGATCATTTTCTTCCTTTCTCTCTTTTCTGCCCATCAGTTAGTAGCTTGGTATCTAAGGCTTATGCACTTCTGCCCCTGAGCTGCTGGTTCCTTTTACATTTCATACACACTGCCTGATACCTTATTCATTAGACCTGTACTGCTTATTGAAACAGTGCTGAAACTACTGGTATTAGGTAATTAAGCATTAAGTCTATTAATAGAACATTAATTGCCAACAATGTTCACATGTGATTACTCAGTAAAGCCATTTGTCAAACAAAAAATGCTCAGTATTCACTGATTCCAATGTCGCAGATGTGGTGATTTTCTGTGCACAAACGCAACAGAATGGTACTGCTTCTCCCCCATGTCGTCAAACGAGGAGAATAATTCAAAACCACAAGGTCAGAGTAGGTGCATTCGCATAAAAGAAAAATCCATCATTGAGTTCTCTCTAACCTTTGAAACAGGCAGTAGTTTCATTTTACTTGCTTGGTTTCCAAGCAGTCAGTACCTCTGCTAACTTGTAGAGATCATGTTGTTACCTGGCAACCTTAAGTTGTGTTTTTAGGGTGGAAATCATGTGGATGAACTTTCTGAGAAGATTTTTTTTTTTTTTTTTTACTGCAATTGGGGTTCTTTAATTGCTTTTAACTGCTGCACCTTTTACCCAGCTGCATCACCAGCTTGCTTATAGACTTCTCATACTAATGAAAACCTTCTTGATATTATGGTTAGCTGAGGCTTTTCATCACATTATACTGCAAGGGAAGGAAGGTTCCCTGTATTTAAGGTGGGTTTCATTCATTTCAGTGGCATAATGCTTTTTGCTAGGATAGTCAACGATACAAATGGCAGCGAGACCATTTTCTCTTATTTAGCTATAGTTGTGCTTTGTTGGAGGATTGAGGGAGGAATAAAGAGGTTGATGGTTACGGTAGAGCTAAAAAGGACCTTGTTATACTTAGACAGGAAAGGTAGCAGCAAGAGTAAGAACTGAAACAAATTCACACCTTACTATGCACTGTTGTGTTAATTTACAGGTTGAAGGATTTCTAGACCTCTGTAATGAGATTTAAATGTAGAGTGAGGACTTGACAGTTAAATAGTTTTGGCAAGTGCCATTTACTTTCTTTCTTTCCAAGGGTTACAGGAAATATGAACCAATCTTTACAAATCCCAACTTCAGTGCTGTACAAAATGTACAGAGATTAGATTGGTAAGAGCCTTTTCTCAAAATATTCTGCTAAATGTAACTGAGGGTTTTGAGATTTTTCAACCAAATTTGGCCTAATTGTCTTCACCTGCAAATCTGAGCTGCTCTGGTAAAGTGGAATAAATAGTTATTGAAAAGCACCTGTTGCCAGTGGCATTACTGTAAATGTGAGAAACAATGAACAGAGCAAATAATTAAAGAGAATATCAAAACCATGCAGAAAAGCGGAGAGAGCTTAATGGAGAGAAGCAGTGACAGCAGGGAGGGAAGTGGGAAATACAAAGGCAGAGTGAATGAGATGAGTGGAAGCATGAGCATGAGGGCTCACATGCAGGTATATGCACACACCCTGTGGTTATCTCAGGTGACGCTTATCAGTGCCAGCTTGTCTTGCTGGTTGTCTCCACACGGTCTTGGGTGAACTCCATCATTCCCTTCTCATTATTTTTCTCCATCCACACCTGCATCCCACCATTCAAATGTCCACCCAGGCCTAGGCCAGAGCAATTGTGCCCACACGAGTGAAGTGATAAGTCAGAGAAAGAGGGATGCAAGGACACACTGGTTATGATCCTGCATATTGATGTTGTGCTCACAACACATGCACATGTGCACAGAACACGCACGTTTGTCTTCATTCCTTGTGGGGACTTTACGTTGACTTGCATCTATTTCCTGGAGACCATAACCATTGCTTGCCTAACCCTAAACTTAAACCAAATTGTCACCCTAAAATTCAGTCTGGTGCGATGCATGAGACGTCCCCACAATGCGAGTGTGTAAACAGGATTATTTTTCTCCGCAGGGTGAGAAATACCAGGTGCACACACACACTCACAATATATGCAAATTGCCAGCAGCATAACACATGAAGCAGGGCTGCTAAAATGGAGCAGCTCATTAACCCCCACAGTTTTGGGACTGGATGGATAAAATATTAAATTGGTTGTGTGTGTGTGTGTGTGTGTGTGTGTGTGTGTGTGTGTGTGTGTGTGTTTTGTAGGGTTGAAATAAACCAAATGTTGCAGCTGTTGGGTGTGCAGTTGATGAGGTCAGATTGCTCAGGGGCAGCAGTGAGCGAGGGTCAAATGATGGAACAAAGGTCAAAACAATCTTCTCTAGGTCATATGACACATAGAGGCTGCGGCAGAGAACAAAAATTGCTCCGGTGTCCTTCTCGTCTCTTCTCACAATCCACAGTACCAGGGAGGGCATCTTTGAGAGTAGTCATGTTTTTTTGGTCAGATAGTCCATACTTCTTCAAGTAGTGCTTGTACAGTGGAGTCAGTAATTGGTAAACATTGGATTAAAACTATATTATTTTCTGTAGTTAGATTAATTAAAAGACAGGATGTGAATAGGAGATACTAGTCGTACTGTAACAATTTCTATGGCGTCCTTGCTTTTTCTTGCAGGTATGATGCTGGGAGGTGGTTGTGGTAGGGAGCTGGCTCACTGGATCATACATGGCCGTCCTGAAAAGGACATGTATGGATATGATATCAGGTACATCACTGTACACAAATACTGCATAAAATATACTATGGTTTTGATTTTTTAGCAGTTAACACAGGTGGTTTCATTGGTTTGGTGCCACAATACAAAGCCGAACATGATTTTGAGCTTCTGATTAGGTGTTTTCTCAAAAGTTTTAATGAAGTCTGAATGACTGTGACCTTTAATGAGCATTTATCTGTTGAATTCCTCTCCCTCCTTCCTGTCTCAGGCGATTCCATAACTCACTGACAGACAACAAACGCTGGATCAGAGAGCGAAGCCACGAGTCGTATGCTAAGAACTATTCTGTGGTGTTCCCCTTTGATGAGCCGCTGGCCAGCCGAAACATGAGGAAAGACCCTTTCCATCAGGTATGATGAGTGGTTTGACTGCAGCAGTGCAGCCAGTCAAACAGGGTGTTTCTTGAGGAGTTCAAGGAAACGACTAATATGCTGTTTTTCTACTGTCAGTCAGTCATAACGTCTTTCAGCTGAGGTTTGATGATTCATTTACCTCAAGGCCCAGTAAGTTTAGCTGGCAAAGAAATCTGTTTTTGCCTCTTTACATGTAAGAAATCTTTTCTACATTTTATGAAAGAAGAGTGAAAATGACAATGAATGGATAGTTAATTGATTTTATAATCTTTTATACTGCCATACAAAATTTGTTTTAATTAAAAAAGAAAGTGTGATGAGCCAAACAAAAGCAAAAATGTTCCCATGTGGTGCATGTCCCTGAAACATTGAGACCACATTCATGTGACTTATTATTTTTTATTCTTTCTTGATAAGATCTGATAAACATTTATTTTAACCTTGGCTTTGTTCAGGGACTTTCAGCGGGGCTTTTAGTTTCTGTGAGAAAGTGTGGGCAATATTATAGATTTCTCAGAATTTAGACAGGAAGACGCCTTTTGGCTTTTGTATAGATGAAGGGAAAGTTTCTGAACCCATATCATCATTTCCTAACGCAGATTAAACCAGTTTAGCTCTTTAAATCACAGGAACATTTCCACAGCCATATATCCTGACCAGTCATGTTCCTATATTTTTAGAGATTGTATGACTCATTCCTTTTCTCCTTTACTTGCCTTACTTGCTCATCGCTCCTTCAGCTATTCATTTGACTTTTTCTATGTATCTAGCCTTCAACTTTCTCATTTTGACATCCTCCTCAACTCGGTTTTCCACCTCTGCTCATCCTGCTTTTCATACAGTCTTTCTTCTTTTAGCTTTTTTTTTCTTTTTTTTTTACAAGTTTAGTCTGTTTTGTTTGAGAGAAAGTAGTGCTGCTGTTTTCTTTCCCTTTATCAACCATAGTGGTTGATACAATGCTGCTTAGACTTTAGCAATCTCTGTGTGCATGAATGTACAGAGAAGACACTGAATAGAGTACATTTCAGATGTTAAATATCCAATTTAAGTTGTAAATAATAATGTAGGACCAACTGTGTGTGTGCTGTCACATCTCATTATTTTGCCAAGCTACAAGTACCGACTCCATCTCTCTCTGTATGTTTATTGTCACCCTTGCATTTCTTTTCTCTCTGCCCCGCCCCTCGCTTTCACTCCTCCCGTCTCCTCTGGTCAAATCTAGAGGCAGACAGCAGAATCAGAAGGCAGTTAGCAGTGTAACTCATCCTCAGCAGGTTACATTTATTAATGCCGTCCTTGCCCACATGACTATAAATTTTATACTTAACTAAAGTAGCCCAGTCTCGGATGTCTTTCAGCTTTCTTTCTGTCTGTAGTCTGACACAAACACTTAATGGGCCTTGCCACCATATGTTATGCATTAATGACCTACTTAAGTGGGCTTTGCTCTTCCAGACTTCATTTACCTTGAACTGCTGTGCTCACACATGCGTGCGTTCTTTCAGGACATATTGCTGTCATATAAATTGCAGCGTCTGTGTATTTTGTTTCATTTGGCTTCACTGACACCTTTCATGCAAAATTAAATGCAAGGTCTTTCTTTTAATATTTTGTACTGAACGGGCAGTCAGATGTCTTTCTAGAGAGAGCTTGTCTTAAGTACAACACACCAGTGATATACACATACGGTGCATGTCATAACACTCGCACCGTTTTTATCTAAGACCACACCCTGTGTATGTCAACTCTCCAGAAAAGAAACAGTTTTATCATACTTGCTCCCTAGATCAGTACAATCCAGTACTGTTTGAGGTGTCCTACTGTTTTCAATTGACATGCACTTTAGTGTTCCAGAGCAGTGCAAAGCCACCTTCACACAAATGTTTGTAAACTGCTTGTAACTTGGGACTTCAGATTTTCCCTAAAAGCATTTATCTAATGTACAATGAGCTGACAGATATCAGAGCACAATCCCTGTGAGACTGTGTTGGTCTAGCCATCAGCTACAAGCCTATTAGACCTCTGTTAATCACTCGTCGAGGTCCATCACCTAGCAACTAGCCTCCCTTCTGTTGGAGAGGGTCGGATAAATGTGATGGTAGCAGTGCAAAGTAAAATAGGCACAGAAAGAGTCTAATTATTATTTTTTAAATGAGCTTTTGTTCATGGTAATAGCTCTTTCTCCTAATCACGACAGTATCTATCAGGACTAAGAGGTACTTAAGGGGTTTGATTGTCCAAGGAAGATGTCTCAATAATCAGACTGTCTACTATTAGGAGGCAATGCAAGCTTATTTCATAGCACAAACAGGCCATCTCTGACATTGCTGCTCACACGTTTTCTCCACCTCGGTAACACGGATGGTAAATATAGCTCAGTGTGGGAAGTTCTGGCAAGAGACAGCTAGCTGCCTGCTAGGAGGAGAGCATAGCAGAACATAACTACCAACTGTGGGCGGCTGTCAATTTTAACAAGGAGGATGGTGAGCGCAGAAAAATCTTATTTCAGCACAGTTCAAGAACTCAAGAATTAACAAGTATGCTATAGTTGAAAGAGTTTTTGCTCTTATCATTTCCTCCTGTATAGGATTCATTTTTAACATCTATGCCATTTAATTTATTGCTAATTTTATAACCTTGTGATGGGTTTTGAAGCTGTGCTAATAGTTGTTGTTATTAACAGTAGGGCAAATGACTATGTGCAGTGTAAAAGGATTTGCCTATAGTGACCAAGCCAGAGTGTTACCATCTGATTTTGCACTTGTTTTCAGCCCTACAGAGCATTTTAATGTTTTTTGGTTCGACTTTGCTTCTGGTTCCTACCGTTCTCATCATCGAAACTCTGATAAACCAAGACTTGGCATTTGTGGGTGGTCTGTCAAAAGAAAGTTTTCACTTGTATAGATGACTGATGTGGATAAATATGACAATGAATTCAAAATGATACACATTTGTGATTTTATTTATTTTTTTCTTTTAGGTTCTGACAGAGCAGGGCTGTGTGTTCCAGGAGAGGCATGGCTGGGAAAGGCCTGGCTGGTTCAACAAAGATGGGCCTGCTCCTGTGAGACACACCCTTACACCACACACATATACTGTACACAGGGACATGCCAATGATTGATTTATGTCCAAAAGGCACTTGGAAAGACATAAACAATAAAAAAAAAAAAAAAAAAAAAGACTGCCAGTAACGGATGACACTGACACAGTATCTAGCCCAATGCTTCCTCTTTCTCTGCACTTGAGAAATTATGATTAATTTGACTTTAACCATTTGTTTGTCTGGTTAAAGGTTAAAGACTATGATTACTATGGGGCTTATGAAATGAGGAAGAATGTAAACTACAAATACAAGGAATTGCTGGGCAAAGAGTACACCTTTGACTTCCCTCCACATCATGACGCGGTAAGATATCGAGTGTAACTGTGTGTGTGTGTGTGTGTGTGTGTGTGTGTGTGTGTGTGAATATTCATTTAAACAAGGTGCATTATGTTGCATGCAACTTCCTTTTGTCAGACGACAATGGCTAAAAGTGTAGGATTGCCAGATGTGTGTGAGAACACTCTTGAGGCTCCCATGAGGTAAAGGAACATGTTCTCATGTGAAATAACAGTCATGGACAGCAGAGAGTGATGAGAGTACAATGAATCTGGGGGGAGCACCAAACTAAACTGGCAGCTTGGAGGACACAGTAAGAGTTTGGTTGGTCAAATGTTGGCGTTGATGTTAGTCTTTCTATAGGTTTTCCTTTTAACGTCACTACTGTGATGAATGCTGCTTTCAAGGACCTGGCTCCAAAGATGTGACCTTAGAAACATCATGTTTGACAAAGAGGTGATGGAATATTTATACAATGTGAGGTTCTGTGTCAATTGCATGTGTGCGTTGTGATTTTTCTTTTAATGCAGATTAAGAATGAGTGCCTGTCATGCAGACACGGTGTGGCTGTGTTTAACATGTCTTACTTCGGAAAGTTCTATCTCACCGGACCTGATGCCAAGAAGGGGGCTGACTGGCTGTTCACTGCTGATGTCAACAAGAAGCCAGGTCATTCTGACTGCTACTACAGCAAGCACGCTCACATACTGTCTACACGCATGAATACAGAGAAACAGACAGATGGTAGAAAAGATTGGCAGATACATAGATAGACGGCCTGAACAAGATGCCAGCACATGAGAAAAATAATCCACGCTTCCACAAACTCAAATAACAATTCCAAATGCCAGTGTAAAGTCTCTGAGTTGCTGGTAGAAATTGTGCTTTCTGCAGTGGTGGGTGTCAAGATTTGAAATGAGCAGAACTCTGGATATTTTTTTCCCATCACTCTTCTTGCATTCCTACTCCCTATTTACTGCTGAAGAGAATAGATCATATCTATGTCGACAGCGATGCCCTTTCAGAAACAGAGATCAAGTTCTGGTCAGACATAAATATTATATTTAAGCCTCTGTAGGATTTGAAGATGTTGGATTCCCAGTTAACTGGAAAGACTGACCAGGTAGACTGCACAAATGAAAAGGTTTATTTTCAAAGTAACTTCAAAACAAAGCTCTACACGTGGGGGCTCCATATGAAGGTCAGTTTACCCCGTTGTGGGGAGTCTAGTAACATTTCAGCCTGTAAAAACAGTAGTATATTTTCCCCTGTAATACTAAACCTGGTGTTTGGGGTTTGTGCACATTCACCAGGTGGACAGAGTCTAACAGAAGATGCATTTGGCTGCATTATTGCTCCCTTGTAATGATTTCCCTCAGACTAATACTCACAGGAATGAATGGAGTGATATGTCATGTATAGCAAAGTGATCAGTGACATCATTGTTGAAACCTAGAGTCAACATTACCCACAATGCAAACCAGTTGTCAGGAATTTGTGTTCTAGTGTTGGCCTCAAACGGGGGATGAGCAGCAGGGGTTAAAGTGGTTAATGGGCTTCAAATTTCAATCATTTCCACGGTAACTTGCTCAGAAAGGTGAGGTTCACAGATTAAGTGTATCCCCTTGATGCAGAGATGGATAGGACTTAAAAACAAAGTTGTGAAAAGTTTAAGCACACTTGAGTTTATTCAAAATTCATACTTATTCACGTGTGAGGTGCAGGAGGCACACACACAGTCACAAAAATAAACTGGATTATTCACAAAGAATCATTTACAAACAAATGATTGACCTTGGATCTGAATGAATCTTTTCCAAGTTTTTGCTGGTTTGCTTCCAAGAGACCACACACTTTAAATTGGCCAACAAAGAATGCTGCAAGAATTGTTTGTGTGCGTTTCAGGCTCCACTGTGTATACTTGCATGCTGAATAAGAGAGGGGGAGTAGAGGCTGACCTGACAGTGAGCAGACTGGAGCCTGGTGCTGGCAACCTGCCCCTGGCACCGGAATCCAACGGTGAGAAACTCTGTGTGTTGTTTTTATACTTATCTGCTACATTGTTGTATGTGGTGTGCTCTCGATTCTCCATTTATTATTCCATCACTGCAGTGTTGTCATTTCTACTGTTGTATTTTATTTATTGTTGGATATAGCTGCCATCCTGTTGGATCTTTTGTCTTTGTTTTGTTTATTGTTCTATCTCACCATTTATCTGCAGTATCACTATTAGTCTTTATCATTATATTCTTTTGTTCATTCTGTTCTTCCCAATCATTTTTAATTCACTGATAATAATTTTTTTTTGTCATTCTTTCTGTTTGACCATCTTTCAACTTCACTAACTACCTTGTTACTCCATTTGCTGTTCATTTTATGTATTTCCCTATCCACCAGCACTTTTTTTCTGACATTCTCAATTTGCATACAAACTAAAACAACTGATTTGCAACCAAACAGCTGAAAAATGGCCAAAAAAATTCTTCGGTCATGATGGAAAGGTTGCTAAATCAAAACATAAGTGAGTGATGCAAAGGCTCTATGTTGCATTACCTGCTTCTTTACTTCACTTCATCAGAACCTCATTCTTTCTTTTCTTCTGTTTTTTTGTGTAGCTATGTAATTTATGTGCTTTGTCTGTTGTCAGTCTGCTCTTCTACTAAATTGTTTTCTGTCAGTAGTTTTATTGTATGTGTCTGATCTGACTCATCTGATCTTCCTCCTTCCTCTGTGTCCATCTCTCTCCCCTTCATCGTTTCTTTCCTCTCCCGCCTTCGTTCTAGGTGATGCATACTACCTGGCCATTGGAGGCGGTATAGCGGAACACAGCTGGAACCACATTAGATCGGTTCTTCAGGACCAAGGCTTCCGCTGCCAGCTGACAGACTACTCTGAGGACATGGGGATGATTAGCATTCAGGGACCCAAGAGGTGGGGAAAGCAAAGAGAGAGATTGAGGGCTCTGAATGAGACATTGTCATACTTTAAATATCAGTCAGTGAACTCTGGACCCAGCTCTCAATATGGATTGAAATTGTTTCTTTTGTAATAATACATCTGCAGTAACTATAGCATTACTATTGACTATTATAACTTCACCAACTGGTGTTAAATTCAACCAGAAACTCTGCCCACATAGTGTAGACTGATGCAATAAATTTCCATAGTTAAAGGTGATCCCATAGAATCGCATCGCTTCGCCTACGCTGTCGGTCATGCCGATTAGTGTGAACACTGCGGTTATGACGTTTAAGGAAGAAATGTCAAAAACATTGTTTAGCAAATGCTATATATAGTACTGACGTTAGGCCATGGCTTAGCAGGATCACAACCAGGGATTAGGTTGTTGCAGCAGTATGCTGTGTGAATGCTGAGTGAAAGTGGTATATACATATGCTTTTAGTTGTTTCAAGCCCTCTTTGCTGATAATATTCAGCGGCTTCCATTGTGTGACCCACTAGAAATGTGACTCAGTGGAAAGTCTGAACTAGGCTTGCAATTATTTTCATTTTCTTGACTACTCCATTAAAAATTAGGTGTTTAAAATGGTTAAAAGTCACATTTTTTTCCCTGCAGTCACAATTTCCTAAAACCCAAGCTGATATATTGAATGTCTTGTTCTGTTGAACCAACAATCATGTAGATATTTTAATATATGCTGTAAAAGCAGCAAATCCTCACAGTACAGCAGCTTGAACTGAACTATTAATAAATTATTTCTCTTCCTAATTATTTTTCTGTTTGGTCAAGTAGTGGATTAGTCAACAGAAAAATAATTATCCCAGTGCTTGCTTTGCAAAATCACTACTGCTCTTGCTAGTCCTCTTTAATTAAAAGGCTACTGTAAAATGTAGGCCATTCAGATATTTGCACATTATGCCTAGAGAAAATGCCTAGAACACCTCTGGTCGCTCTGTGACTTTAAAAATTAATAGGTGTGTTTTTGTCTTGGGTTGATTAAAGCTTAACTGTTTAATTTGTAGAATTTGACAAACCACCAGGTTTTTATGCTGCTACACTAGCAACAGCTGTGACTGGAAACGCTGTCTGAAATGCCTTGAGTATTTGTTCAAATTTGGCACAAACGTGCACTTGGGCTCAAGGACGATGTGACAGAGCTCTCTATCAGTCCTCTGTAAACATAGTCTCTTAGTGAAGACGGCACGTTGCTCACTGGAAATTATTCACTAATATTTCACATCAATATAGTAAAAACTTGCATGTTGTCAAAAATACACTACTGTAACTGAGTACTTACTGAAATCTGAAGATGTCACCGTTTTTATTTTCACCCTCGTATATCAGAACCATAATCGACTGTTTTCAGGTGAAAGTGCACATTTGGACGTGGAAGACAAGCCAAGCTCTCCTTGTTTTTTGTTCTTGTTTTGCCCATTTTGCTTTGTTCTTCAGCCCAGGCTGCCTTTACCTCTTCTCCTTCTCATCCTCTGAACTCCTCATCGCTCTTTTTCTTCCATTCTCACCTGCCTCTCCCCTCCCTCTCCCCCACTCCTTGCTGCCCCTGGTCTTTGTTCTTTCCTCTCACAAGCAGTAGGGTTAGGCCACTGTTCTCTCTGTGTGGGTTGTCAATTTCTTCTCCTTGAGGTTTTTCTCATCTTCTATTCTAAGTTTCTTTTTCACCTGTTCTCAGCATCTTCTTTCTCTTAACTTTTTTCTATTCTCACCATCAGCAGTGGCCGTGTGTGTGTGTGTGTGTGTGTGTGTGTGTGTGTACGTGTTTCATTGTAGACTGACACACAATAGGATGTTGATTATGAAGCTCATTTGGTTTTCTTGAATATGCAAACCATCTGTGGTATCTGTGTTGCCATTCTCTGTCCAGTACTGAACTGATTATCTTGCCACATATGCAGAATTGCAGAAACTCAACCCTCCAATATATGGGTTATGTTTTCTTATGAAGCAGACTGATCTCTTTTAAGCTTAAGTAGAGAGAAAATCACAGCTTCTGTGGACAAGTATTTGTGTTTTCCTTCCCAGACACATCTCATTTAAATTCTCAAGAGATGTGAGACACACATTCTCTTTCATTTCATTCAGCTTAGAAGCATGCACCAAAAGGTGAAACTGGTGTTTGTTCTGGTTACTTAGTAATTATAAACTTCATTTATAATATATGAAATTATGTGACATGCAAAACAATTATGTGTGTATCCATAGCTGAGAACCACAGCTAAGTGGCAAGTCAAACAAATTGGTGGTTGCAAGACCCCTTTATTACACACACGCACAGCTATTCACTGTTTATTTATAGTCAACTGACCTTATTCTTAGGCTTGTGAGTTCAATAAACAAAGCTTTGCTTAAGGGAGGACAGAAATAGGAGGACAGCCTGAAGGAAATAATCAGCCTGCGCATCATCCTAACACACATGCATGCCTGTGAAAAGTCATATACTATATGAGGATACATTACATACATTTCTGCATCCAACTATGACCTCATCAGTTGCATTGTAGAAAAAAAAGAACACACAGATGTATGCACAAAGACGTATACACAAATGTTACCTGAACCCTTCCCCAAATATCTTCAACTATGGCTTCCGATCACACAGTTGCAAAAATATCTTCCAGAAAAGGTCAGATATTTTCTACCTGCTCACTCACAAATATACAAGTGTACAAGAAGCAAAGTAAGCTAAACTTGGTTCATTTTTGTCTGTTGACTCATCTTTATTTAACGTTTAGTTAATGCTTATTACTGCATCAACAAATGTTAGCAGTGTCGTTAAAAACTATTAATGTATGAGGTAATACTTTAACATGAAAAACATTAGTACATGATTAATAAATGCATTAGTTACCTATTAGTTAATGCTTATTACTGCATTAAGTACGGTTAATTAATGTACCCTTATTGTAAAGTGTTACCACTCATCTTTATGTAATAAACATCTAAGTGTGTTTGTGGGAGAAGGAAGAGATGGTACATTTCTACAGTAAATATAACAAGGCCAGTTGTAATTCACTAGGATTAGTTTCTTGAAACATTTATGATTTTAAAAACTGAAAAACTAATTTTCAGGTTGTTCCAGTCTTGTGATATAAGAAACACACCAGTTGTATAGGTGTAAAATAAGAACAAAGTATAGATGTACTTTGAATAACTGGCACAGTTTAGGAGTTTTCAGTGTTTTCTGTTCCTGTACAGTCGAGAGGTACTTCAGGAGGTGTTGGACACAGACCTGAGCGATGAAGCTTTCCCCTTCTCTACCCACAAAGTTGTCAGTGCAGCAGGACATAAGGTGAGAACACACACACAAACACACACACACACACTTGGTGCCTCAACTAACATCTGCAGTAATTAGATATGGGGCAGGTGGCATGTCTCAAGCTGTCCTCACCTTTATATGTGAAGCCTGTCCTCTTTGTGTTTCTCTACTTCTTTCTCTTTCTGCTCTGAGGTCAAATAACTCGATATAATGTTGTATGCAAGTACTGGGGAAATCATATGCATATCCTTAGCTCTGTTTTAACAGTAATTATAATGATGGTGTGTAGCCTGAGCTTTTCAAGTTGACCTCTACAGTGTTTCTGGCCTCCAGATCAAAAAGAGCATGTTGTACCAGCACATGCAGTGATACATATGTCCACACACCCTCATTCTCTCTGTTGCTCTTGCATGAATTATGCAATGCTCCAGTGATTTTCATTCAGCATCTTCTCACACCTTCGCGAGAGTGTTTGAGCATTTGTGTGTGTGTGTGTGTGTGTGTGCGCGCGCGCGCGCGTGTGTGAGTGAGTTGGAAGGACTGTTTTGTGGTTGCTGGCCTCATCTGGGTGACATTTTAATGGCTGCACTACTGTGCTAACAGAGCCCTCTTTCTGCCCTTTCCTCCCCTCATATTTCATTAGACTCGCTCTCTCTCTCCTTCCCTAAGACACCAGGTGAAGCGAGTGTGCTGGCATGCATGTTGGGTCATATGAACTCATGTTTATATGCATTTTTGTACAAGTGTGCATCTGTTTGATGTTTGCCTGGTAAATCTGAGTGATGGTGTGTATGAGGCCATCCATATGTTTGTGTGATTGTCATCTGTGTCTCTGGTGAACTGTGTGTTGTGAATAAGAGCAGGCTTACGTGTATGGTCCTCCCCAGAGTTTCATGGCATGCATATGTGTCCCAGGGTTATCCCTTGCTGGGCAGATGGCCTGGCGGTCACATGTTCAGATAGATTTGCATCCTAACCATTCTTTTATTCTAAAACCTTGTCTTTAAGATAGGGAAGGACTGTTTTTAATTTAGTCTATGTTAAAGTGAGGTTGTAGCATACTTTAACTTCTCTGCATGCTTGGAAAAAAAATGCAAGAAGAAGATAGTTTATGACTGCAAAAATAAAACAAGGTGAAGAGACTGTACAGAAGTTATACAGTTGCTAGCCAGTTCACCCACAGCATGACTGTCTGTATTTGCTTTTGGTAGGGAAGACGGATTTTTGCAAAACACATAACCGTGAATTCATGTCATCCTGCTGGCTAACTTTTGTACCACATGTGCTCCTTAACATGTTTAATATTACTATGTTAAAGTGAGGTTGTAGCATACTTTAACTTCTCTGCATACTTGGAAAAAAAAATGCAAGAAAATAGTTTGTGACTGCAAAAATAAAACAAGGTGAAGAGACTGTACAGAAGTTATACAGTTGCTAGCCAGTTCACCCACAGCATGACTGTCTGTATTTGCTTTTGGTAGGGAAGACGGATTTTTTTTTTTTTTTTTTTTTAGGTATTTTCTTAAATGGGGGTTTGTGGGAAAATGTCATCATGATCAATGGTCATAATGGGCGACCTTGCTCTCTGCACTTTCTATTTCCTCTGTCACCTCTCTCCCTTCTTTTATCGTTTGGACCTCTTACCCTGAGAACTGATTTTAATCTCTTCCAGGCCTTGAAGCATTTTGGGCACAATATTCATTTGTGAAGGGAGAATACAATTGCCTTGCTCCTCTCTTTGTGCACCTTATCTTATCCTTGCATCTGTTCTATTCTGTTTCTTCTCCACTGTTTTTTGAATTTTTGCTTTTCTCTCTTCAACAGCAGCACATGGAAACTGCTGTTAGTGTTAAAACTTGTAACAAGTAGATTTGGTCTTTGAATATGAAGTTTGCTTGTAATAATAATAATAATGCTTTATTTATATAGCACTTTACAACCCGCAAAAGGAGCACAAAGTGCTTCAGAGAACACATAAAAAAAAAACATAACTAGCATAACAGACCTTAAAAACAACAAGAAAAGGACATAGACAAGATGGATGATAAAACAGCAGCAAAAGAGATATCCGGATTAGTTGTCAAAGGCCTGTCTAAAAAGGTGCGTTTTTAGAGCTGCCTTAAAAGGGGCCAACTCGGTTATAGACTGTATTTCTAGAGGTAGCGCGTTCCACAGCCTAGGGCCATAACTGCTAAAAGAGCGATTGCCCCATTTTTTGAGTTTGTGTTTGAGTGAGCACGTGCAGAGGCATGGCGTGTCTTTGTCCAGCTCTCCAAGCCTCCTCTCTAACCCTGTCTCATCCAGGTGCGAGCCATCCGCCTGTCATTTGTCGGAGAGCTCGGCTGGGAACTGCACATTCCCAGAAACTCCTGCCTTCCAGTCTACTATGCTGTCATGGCTGCTGGTGCAAAGCATGGTATCATCAACTCAGGCTACAGGGCCATTGACTCACTCAGCATTGAGAAAGGTACCTTTTCAATGAGCGGTTATAGAAAACCTAACTGCAACATGCCATTCAGCTCAAGCTACAGATTTACATACATCAAACAGTAGTAGAAATAAGATTTTTATATTAAATATTGTACAGAAAAGTTGTAGCAAATAAGCAGCATATGAAGTACATGGATTTTGCTTGCGTCTTGAAGTTCAGCGATTCTTGCTTTTATCTTCTCCTCTCAGGGTACAGACATTGGCACGCTGACCTTCGCCCTGATGACACACCCCTGGAGGCAGGGTTAGCGTTCACCTGCAAGCTGAAGAGTTCCCTCCTATTCCAGGGTCGTGATAGGCTGGAGAAACAGAAGAAGGAGGGGCTGACTAGGCGCATCGTCTGCTTCACCACTGATGAGTCAGTAAAGCTGTTGTGAGATTGTGTTGGCCAGAAAGACATTAATGAAATTCTTTACAGCAACAGAGGTCAAACATATAGGATTTTTTTATAGAAGAGACACTAGCAAAATATATTTGTAGATATTTAAATCTTGTCAGCAGTATAGCTACTTCATGTTATTTTTAGGTCACTGGATCATCCATTACTCAAATGATTCAGAATTCTGTATTTGTGTGAAAGAAACAGGGCTGTTGTGGTGTGTGTTCATACACTATGTAATCAGACTTTCCCTTCTCTCTCTCTCTCTCTCTCTCTCTCTCTGTCTTCTGTCAAAGGAAAGTGCCGTTGTTCGGACTGGAGGCCATTTTCCGTAACGGGATTCCTATCGGTCACCTCCGGCGTGCTGACTATGGCTTCTTTATCGACAAAACTATTGGTTATGGATATATCCATAACCCCGATGCAGGAACAGTGAGTCTCTTAAGCCTTACCGTTGTCTGTCTGTTGTAATTTCATCACTTGGTCTTTTACAAACAGGGTTAAAGAATGTGAGCTGTAGGTCCATCTGTCTTTTTAAGATACTTCAGGTATTAATCAGCCTCAAGTTGTCACTCAGATCCCACCACTCTCTGTACACAAGTTTTAATAGCCAGCTTACAGTTTTTTGTGCTCATCTCCTGATGATGATACAAACATACAGACATCAGACAGAAGGATGAAAGCAGCTAGAGAAAGATTTTTGCATTCTGGAAAACGGAGCACTCCTGTGTTTAGACCTGCATCTCTGAGTGTGAGACACACAGTAGGAGTCTGTCGAACACCCACTGATCTTGTGGTTGTGTGTGTTTGTTACTGGTATTAATTTGTGGAGACAAATTTGTTTACACTCTCATTGTGGGGCCTAGATGCTGGTCCCCATCATGTAAGTCACTGAATTTTAGAGTGACAACTTGTTTTAAGGTTAGGTTAGCAATGGTTGGTGAATGTGGCCCATTATTTCTTACAAAGAGTGTGGATTAATTGGTCATCTCATTTTGCCATTCTGTTTTCAACGCCATCTTCTCATCTACCAAAGTGTAACCCCCTCCCCCTTTGTATCTCCCCATGCCATTTTATTTCCCCCTCCCTCTTATTTTTTTTTTACCCCATCCCTTTTCTTTCAGGTGAGTGCCGATTTCATTAAGAGTGGTGAGTTTACTCTGGAGAGGATGGGAGTGACATACAAGGCAAAGGCCCACCTTAAATCTCCCTTTGACCCTGAGAACAAACGCGTTAAGGGCATCTATACTTGAAGGACCACGTGGCCAAAACCTGAAGCAGACACACACTGGTTGGTGAGATCTGAAGCACACACACACACTGGTTGGTAAGATGCAACTGATTTTTTTTTTTTTTCTTACATTCAGGTGCAGCTGTTTTAGACTTTACCTCAGTCAGATATGAGGAATCGCACATCTGTGATTTGGTGGAACATGCTGTATGCTCATTTAAAAGTTCTGCCTTTTATGAATGTCCTAAAATATGTATCATGACAACAAAGAGGTGCTGAATTGACTTTGATATGAATGTTTTGTTAAGAAAGCTTCATAGCTCCACATTTTTATACCAGCTTTGGCTTTTAGAGTAACAGTGTTCCCTATCAAATGCTCCTGTGTGAGCAGAAGTGGAACAGTTAGTCTTGTTTCCAGTAATCAAGAGTCTTAATGAAGAGCTACTGTAGCAGCCAGCATAGCAGTAAGCCAGAGGATTCATTACCATGATTCTAGGTGTAATGATTTATATGAAGCACACTGCTGTCATCTGTGTAACTAAAGTACTGATATAATAGGAGTAAAAGTAACGTCTCAGTTGACCAGGGCATTTCTGTGCTTTAGCTCAGGAGAAAAGTAGACCTTTATTACAAACAGGCTGCTGTTAGGTCATTATTTCTAATATTACCTATGAGACCATGAGTGTTGTACTAGGGAATAAAAGTATAGGGTAGTCCTACAGGCAGTCAGTGACTGATGATTGGGCTGAATAATGGCTAAACAGAGTTGTATTTGCTTGTGTGGTATCTAAATCTGAGGCAGACAGCCTGAGTATTTCAGAGTTGGAGAGAAAGGGACAAAAAAAACCCCCAGAGGCACAGCGTATCATCCAGGGACAAAACACTGAAACAGAGTGACAAAAGTTGATTATTAGAAAGCAGCTGTTACAAGTAGAACCTGCTTGTTTTTTTTAGCCTCCCCCCGTTGCTATGATCTGCAGTCTTAACCTGCTGTTTCCAAGCTCAATGCTGTTAGTTTTGTTTTGTAACAGATGTACTGTTCTTTAATGAGGCTATCTACTATTCATACATGCTTAATAAGAGCGCCCATTGTTTTTGTTGTAAATCAGACAACATTTTGTGCATGTGCGTCACAGTAAAGCAGTTCAGATGGCATTACTTCTGGCACTTTTACTGTGAAACATTGACAGGAAGTGCATTGAAAATCCACTTTAGCCTCATTAAAGAATACTTGCAATTCAAAATATGAGCTTAATGCAGCAGAGTAGCAAGTACTACAACAGGACTGACCTGTTGGGCTCAGGAAATTAATGCAGTGGAAAACGGCAAATGCTAATTTTGTAGCAGCCGGTTTCAGTGTGGACAGCTCATGGTGGTTTGAATGTCAGTGTCTTACTACAGCTTCAATTTAAGAGGAAAACTGTGACAAACGGTAAAAAAGAAATCACTGGTTTGGCACCTTGATGACTTGTCTTTAAAGCAGGTGCTGATATGTGTTCACTATAAAATGACACTTAACATAGAATTTGATTATGAATTATGTTTTCATTTGTTGACATCCATTTAACTTGTATAGTTAAAGACAAATGAAAACCAAAGTTCATCTAACACACATGTAAATCAACCAAAAAATGGGGTTGAAGTACAATAAGGCATTTTTATGTATAACTACTACTTCTCAGATGTGTTGCTTCTTGTTTAGCATAAAATGTTTACTAATGCTGAATGATTCATTGATTCTGCCTGGGACATCATTAATCATTGAAACTGTTCTCAGGAGTAGCTGAGGTTAATAACATTTGGGAAATGTGAAACAGACTGATAAAATATCACAATTGGTCCTTAGGTTTATCCCAATACAGTTTATGTAACTTCTACATTCGTAGTGGGATCTGAATATTGCAACAGCATTGACGATAAAGCAGATGAAGTGCAAAAAGTACAAATTTCTCTTGTTGTCTTGGAACATTTTGGCCAGTTTAAAGAATAAAAATGACAAGTGGAGGAATGTGATAAGCCAGACTCATTTATTCTGTCCAAAGCAATTCCTATATTATTAAATTCCTTTTTAACTGCCAACATTTGTGATGCAAAAAAGATGCAAGGACACACAGGGCCATGTAGCAAAGGAGAGGAGATTACATGGGCAAGCTATTAACATGAGGATTTAGTGGTGTTTTTTTACCAATGAAAAACATGCTTCATGTATTAATAATGCTAATCGTTATCAACAGAAGCAAGAAGCAAAATATACACAATATACACACTGCCTGGCCACTTCAGTAGTCACCTGTATAAATTGTATGCATTTCAATTCAACACTTCTGCCTTGACATCTGTGTTTATGAAGCTCAAAATGTTTTTCTGGTGAAGCTGTCAAATGATTACTTTCAGTTATGTCTGTTATTGAGGTCACAATTAAATGTGTTGTACTTGTTGTGTATTATATTCAGAGGTGTTCCTAATATTCTGACCCTCATGTATGTAGCTGGGGAGGACAAAAATATAGACTGTTTCACCAAAAATACAAATTTTGAGCTTCATAAACACAGATGTTAAGGCGGAAGTGTTGCACTGAATTGCATACAGTTGTACAGGTGTGACTGTTAAAGGGGCTGGTGAGTGTGTGAAGGGGCAGTAAATCATGTTTCCTTATAAAATAATGTAGCAGACGTTAGTGACCAGCAGTGTAGCGTCACATCTGTCCCCAGTGGCAATTTGATAATCATAAATATTTGTTTTGTACATGCCCGTCTCAAACTTTAGTGTCTGAAATAATGCCCGTCTCCTTGTTTTCAAACATATTAATAAGGACTACGATTAACCTGTGTACTATAATATAGATGTGTATTTAAAGCATATGATTACAGCGGCTGTCGGGAAAGTCAGTAGAGGAAATACTTTATCCCCAGAGACCAAGATAAAGCCTGGGCAAGTCTCAGGAGCTGCTGTACCTTTCCCCTGGTCAGGTTCCCCTGGCTTAGGTTGGGGGTGTAGGGGGTCGGCTGGTGGGAAGTGCTCCTCCCTCACAGGGGTAGCGAGGTTTTTCAAGGACGGCAGTCACCACCGGTACAGGCTGTTTGTCCCACTCTCCCTGAAAAACATGTTTGAGATCTAATGGGTCCTAGACACTTTAAATAATGACAAATAGATATTGTCCTTGATGTGGACATATTTTATTGAGGTAACTGCAAAGTTGTCACTGAACAATGTATCAAAGTGTGCATCTTCAAGAAATACACAAGGACACTTTGTTTGTGCTTGAGTGTTTTTATGGGGCACCTTAAGACACTGACAAGGCTACTTTCTTCCTTTGTTGACCTTTACAAGTTTGTCTCTTACTACGTTTGGTAATGAAACCATTTTTTTGGTATTTACATGGAGTATTGTCGTTGCAAAGAAAGGCTGAGTACAAGCTGAACTGCTACTTTGCTTTGAGTTCATTTCAGACTTAATTCCCCTAAAATCAAAATGCCTTTTAGTAGTGCCACCATTAATAGAATAGACGTGAGCTTATATAAAGGCTACCCACTGTGGTTGTACCAGTCTGTCAAAGTGAGAACAGTTTGGGGTTTTTCCACATCAGATTTGTCTAGTTTGTGCCTTTTTTTGGTCACATTTCTCTGCACTCACTGATATTTGCTAATATTTAATCCAAATACGACGGTGCTGGAATGTTTGCTTATGTTATTGAGCCACTTTGAATTAAAACATTACACTTAATTATCTTACACACTTAAATATTAATTTAATCATTGGACTTTTAGTAAGAAATGCTTATTATAGAGAAATGCACATTTTGAAACTGTTTTCAGGGGCTTTAATGAGAAGAAAAAAGGAATTGGCAAAATGACTCTGCTGCCCTGCAGCTTCCTTCTATGCATTTTACTGGGCTGGATGGTTTCTTTTTCCCAACCTAGCTCATCCAGTTTTGTTATTTAGTAGTCAAAGATGGGAATATGTATTATGTAGCTTTTGTTTGCACTCATACAAGCTTTGTTATACATCAGAGAAAGCCTTTTTCCTAACAGAACCTTGACCAAGGCCTCTACACAGTTTTCAAATGCAAGTTAGTCACTCTGATCCAATCATCTTTTCTGTTTATATTAGAAGTTTTCAGAATGGTTGCTCAGCTGGTCTGACTCTACTGTTTAACTGGCAGTCTATTGTTGCATGTGTGTCTGTGTGCGACAGAGACTTACAGGAAAGAGGACTGCAGTCGACTGGTTGCAGTGCATGGAGATTGGGGCTGTGTTATAAAGGGAGTCCAGCACTTCTCCAGTGAATGTGTCCCACTGTAGCTGAGAAAACTGCTCAGTCACGCTCACCTCCCCACACACGCACTGGTCATTTCCATGAAACCTGGAGGGAGGAGGGACAGGCTGAAGGAAAGTCGATAAAAGAGGGAGGCAAAGTGAGATTGAAAAAGGAGCAGGACACTGAAACAAAAAGCAGTTAAAGCAAAGAACATGGTTTCACTTGAAAAGGACAAAGCATCTGGTTCTTGTGATTAAAAGTAGTAATCGCCACTCTGGTTCCCTGAAGTGAGGGGGTAGGGATGAGGTTTGAAACATGGGAGATGGAGAGGATGCTGCTAAATGAACAGAGGATGAGACGAGAGGGACAAGCAAATGGAAGAGAGAGAGAGTGAGTTTTTGTACATGTGCTACCTGTTAATGAGGACAAGCAAATGGAAGAGAGAGAGTGGGTTTTTGTACATGTGCTACCTGTTAATGAAGTTAAAGTATTTCTGCAGGTATCCTGGGTCCACGTGGCTTTTGCAAAGCTCCAGCTGAGTTCGAGGGTAGTAGTGCAGGTAGTTGACACACATTTCCTCCATGATGCCAAAACCTCCCTGAAGAGAGATTTGGATGGAGATGGGAAACCAGGCAAAGAGCAAATGTAGGTATTAGAAGGGACAGATTTAAGGAAAATATGGTGAGTATGAAGATGGAAGGAGGAGAGAGATAAAAGGAGAACACACTTCAATTCTTGCTGACAGTGTTCAAGGTGACATTTTTGCAGTATAAAAACTCTGCTGAATATTGATTGTGTGCTGCTCACCACTGTAGGCTTGCTCCTGTCTTCTGTGTTATAAGTACACTTTGTTATGAGGATGTCGCCCTGCAGGGTCAAGCACAAAACACACCAGTAATTACACTGCATTTCAACAAATGGAGCCAAAAATAAGGGTACTCATAGAAAATTAAACATCTTTTTTTCTCAAACACAATGCTACTCTGTGGAGCTCAGCTGCTCTGGTATTGTCTTGTCTGACTCCTGGGAAATTCCTGTCTCAGTGCTGATTTTACAGCCTGTCCCTATTTCCACTCCATTTAAGCTTTCTATAAAGCAGTGAGATATTCAAATTCAATACTTTAAATGCAAAGGGGGGTTGGGGAATACATCTGGGACATTACCATTCAGGAGTACTTGGCTGAACGTGCAGAGTAGGAAAATGCCCGCTGTCTGAATTTAAAATCTGCACAGTGGAAAACTGTCAGCTTTATACTTACAGGTAAAATGTTCACAATTTTCCTTAGAACTTGGATCGTCTATAAGAAAAAAGACAAACATACTGTATTAAGGGAAAATGCTCCTTTATTACACATTTATTTTTGGGATTCCTGTTCTACAATTTTGGACATAAACAACCTAGAAACGAGGCTGTAACATGATTAAAAATTACTAAAATTTGTGATTTACTGCCATTTTTCAAAAGTAAACTACTGCAGATGCATTACATTGTATTTCTCTCCCTAGCATCTTAACTGTGTGCATAACTGGACACTTTGTGCACAGTAGATCTGTTTCAAACACAGCAGATAAAATACTGGGTTGCTCTTAATGCTTTTCGTGGGGGTGGGGGGTGGGCAACTTTCATTATCTGTGCATCTAAAAGGCCCATTAGCTTTGCTGAGATTGGTCTGATAAAGTCTTCATATGCCCTAATGAGGCTGCAGGGTTGGAAACACCAGTGTCACAGAGGTACACTCAAATTGGTCTGACATCAGCAGCAACTGGAGATTTTATCTGTCAGTTGAGCATGTGTCCTTCACTGCTCGTGTGTGTGTGTACCTGCCTCAGGATATTGCCCATAAATAAAACAACAGGTGTCAGCTGCTGTCTCTCAACAATGGTAATATTGTTTGTAAGTTTTGATGTTGAGTTAATGGTTAGATGGCTTTTTTTTTTTTATTCATTACCTTATGGATGAAGATTATACTGTGCTGTACTTGGGTCCTAGATTTATGACTCCTATTTGTGACAGCTTCATCAGAAAAGAACTAGAATAAATTTTTTGAGCCACGAAGGTGTTCAATCAAAACTTCTGAAAGTAGAATATGGTGTGGGTTTTTATTGTCAACCCTTTTAATTTAACACAAGGTCATGCAAATGTTAAGGTGCTTGTTTTTTTTTTTTTTTAACCAGCCCCTGCTTTTGTAACCTGAGTTATATCGGCCATAGGACTAATAGAGTGATGTTATATATTTTTATCATCTCAAAACCCATGAAAAGACCTAAATCAACATGAATCGATTCAGTAAAACAAGACTTGTAGCCATAACATACTGGAGCTAATTCCTCTGTGCCATAGAGCACTGTTGTTTTCCAAAAACTCTTAAAAAAAATAAAAATAAAATAAAACTATAAACTCAAATGAGCTGTTGCATTGGGTGACATTTTTTCATTACAAAGTATAGATTCTGTAGTGTATTCTGAACCAATCCACCACTGAAAATAATCCTCACCGATACAGTTTACTTCTGTTGGATTACAGTTTGCTTTTTACTACAGTGCCCAGCTGTTTAGGGAATTGTTTAGCTTTTTAAAGATTGGTACACTGAATGGGTCACTCCCTGCAAAATTAAAAACAAACTAACAAGAGATTATTGTTTTTTGTTTTTTTATTTTAAAAGAGAGAGCATCAGTCTTAATTTTTTAGTTAAGTGAGAAGTGAAATAAAACAGCTTTATCCAATATAATACAATAAAATATACAGTGCACAAAGGTAGATCCCTGTATTGTATTCCTCTGGGGAAAACTGAGCCCTGTGTTGCTTACCTGGTAGTGTGTACTGAAGTGCTGGTCCTCCCGTACCACCTCCAGCTCTTTGCCTCCCCTTACCAGAACTGTCCTCACCCCACGCCCTGCCAAGTGGGTGTGCAGCTGGGATGCAAATACATAGATTCCTCCTGGAGGCAAGGCCTAAACACACAAACAGGCAGACAGAGAAACAAGCCTTTTAAGATCAAGCTTCAAAAAAAAAATGTTTTTGGTGCTCTATGAACAAAAAGCTAAACATGTGGCACTTGGGAATCAGACTGTGAATGGCACTGTATGTAAGATGGAACAAGCTATCACCAACTCTAAAATAGGGGGAATTGGGTTGGAAAAAAGAAATTCCTTTTTTTACTACACCCCACATAAAAAAGAAACTTTTTGGAACGCAGCAGCAAAGCCAGAGATTGAACTCTAAATTTTGTACTTGTGATTAATAAGTGATGATGCAATACACAAGATGGCGCACATCTCTTAAAAACCTTAATGCTAGCAGGTAAAAAGGAAATGGTTAAAATGTGACACCTCCCCTCCTTAAAACCCAGAACAGTGGCTGAACATTGTGGAGGAAATGTACTCCAAGACAAAACTGACCCACTATCTGTGGCTTACAGCAGGGTCCTTTGAACAACAGTGGGGAAAAAACAGAAATCATAGAGTACTGAGTCACATTCTCAGCTAGTTTGAGAAAAATGAGTCTTGGATTTTGTTTGGAAAATGTCTTTAAAAGTTTAACATATTTATATGTGGTACCTTGGCTGAAACATTTGCCTTACATTTGTAACATTTGAACCATAAAGACTGTAATAAATGCTTTTTTTTTTGTTCACCTACAGTCTGGGTACATTTGGAGGTGCAGTATCCACTGAGGTAGAAGGTGTGTTGTTTGGGTGGGATAGCCATGATGGGAGTATAAACGAGGCCCAGCTCCATGATCCCTGCATCATACCGCCTCAGGCTCGGGGTGAAATGCAGCCGTATCCCTGATGAGTCACGTCGACCTGCATGAAAAATATTAAAATATTGTATCAAAACACGTGATTGCCAGAGTTATTTTAAATCAGGCTATGAAAAAATGTTCCATGTGAATGAATAAAAAAAACCTTTTATTTAAAGGTGCTGTTTGTCTCCTATAGCAAACATTTTAATAACATTTGTGAGGGTAGAATTGCAAAGAGAGGAGCGAGATTTATAATGTTAAAATGTTCACAGGTACTGTCTACACTGTCTATCTGGTCCTGGTCAGCTCTCATGCTTCTGCATTTTGAATTATTTGGACCAGCAAAAATACGATTACAGCTGTTAAACCTACCAACGGTGGAATTAAAGAACAAAATGAGTGTCCTGGCAATATTCTTAATATGTTAGGAGGTAGTTTTGGTAATATTTCTGAGATTGGTATACATTTTAAGTCAAGGAGATGCCCTGACTGACTAGAGGTTTAATTTTTAACCCACATCTCTCATCTCATTTTTTGCCACTTAGCTTTTATTGATGCTACTGTAATAAAATGACTCAAAAATGCTTCAAAACAAATTCAAATCCATCTTGGAGCCCACAGTGACTTAATTGAATTTATTGCTTTTTTATGACACGGATTTTAAATTGATGTAAAATTTTTTGTTCAGCTGCAGAAAGGAAGAGGAGAAGATGAAATACACAGCTGCAATAAACTAACAAGAAAGATGTGTAAAGAATAGTTATGCACAGTAGTGTGTGCATTGTAAGGTCAGATCAGAGTAAGAAAAGCACAGATTACGGTGACCTATACAGTACTGGCAAGATCAAAAGGTTCATCTGGAAATTTTCTGAAGATAACTCCAGGGCTTCTTCTGTGAGATACAGAGAACCCTGCTGCTTGTGTGTGTCTACAGGAAAGAGTAAAAGATAGAGTGTATGTTTACATATATTACCAGATATAAGGAGAGGATTGTGGTAATGGACCTCCAGACGTAGGAACCTTGAGGATCCTGGTCCACCCATTGGCAGCCCTGCATCAGGAGGATAGTAAAGAGCCTCCAGGCAGGCAAGCAAGCAAGCAAGCAAGCACACACACACACACACACACACACACACACACACACACACACACACACACACATTCAGGAAAGCAGACTCATTATTCCTCTTATTTATGTAGAGCTACTATGAAGCTGCAGTAAAAAACTCTTATGCTAATGATTTTGGGCTGTGGAGTAAAACATTTAGGTTAATATGCTGAAGATGTGCACACGTCTCTATTCTTGAGGACGGTGCTGAACTATGGCTATTTTCAGTGTAATCTTTAGTTATTCAGGAGACCGTGATAGAGAGTTCAGCCAAATGTGTATTCCTGTGCAAGCATGGACAAGGTTTGAAAAGATATCTGGCCTCTCTGGATTTCTGACAGAAGTTTTTCAGACTTCCAGATGAGAGAAGTGCATCTACACACAGTAGCTGCAGGGTTCAACAATCCACTTCAAAACATCTCCTGTCAAAGTGGGATATCTATGGGATCACTATTAGTGTTATCCATCTGCTCTCCCTTACTGGAGAGATCATAGATAGCCTAGCTCTAAAAATAACCAGATGCCTACTCACACTGTCCAAACCACCCACAGAATCCAACTGCAACAGATTGTAAGACTGAAAAGAAATGTTTAAACAGATGACATGGAAAACGGAACATTTTGATATAGATTGAAATCACTTCAGTTTTTGCATTAACTACTTTCTTTGTGAACCTTTTCCAGGTCTTTTGAGGGCCTATGAGGTGGCTCAATATAAAGTTTAGTTCTACACATGTATTCTCAAATAGATGCACCATCTGAGATTTTAGTTGAACTTGTGAAGTACATTTCTCTGTTCTTTTTCTTTCACTACTTGGATTCTGAAGTGTTCTTGTCATAGCAAGAAAATCATTTTTTGAGCTCACTGCTGTCCCCATCGGTGTCAAACCTCCCGTTATTAAGGAATCCTGAATCATTATCTGCCTTCACCTATTTCAGATGGATGATCACCTTAGGCCACTTCTGATACTCTACACAATTTATCATAGAAGAAAGATTGTTTTATTTCATTTTGCTTTCATGTTGTAGCAGTAAAATCCTTAAAGGCTTGCTTTCTCCCCTAAATACACACACACACACACTTCTTTTTCTCTTGAGATGGCCTCTCTCTTTGCTTTCTGACAGCATTGTACATTACTGTTTCCCTTTTCTTTCAAACTTCCTCCGCTCTTCTTTGCTCCCTCTCTTGCTTTTGCACATTTCCCTTCTGAAACAACACTATTAGGAGGTGATAAAAGAGGTCTGAATATTTCCCACCTAATCTTGTCTTCACAGCTCACAGAAGGCATCCTGCTTGTTTTTGTTTGGCTGACAGATAATCCAGTCAGAGAGGGGCCAGGCTGGCTGTGATACAGCGAGGAGCAGCGTGTGGAAATATGGTGACAGCCTCACTGTTCCCTGTCCTCGTTGCTTTATGTGACTAGCAGGCTACTTGCTCGGTCTGCCGGCTGGTTGGTAGCCGAAGTATGTAAGCGGTGTGATTTAATGCCTAATAGACTGACTGACTGACTGACAAGTTGGCTGACTAGCTTTAAAAAGGAAAACACGTACACTTCTCCTGCACTGAATATTTCATTTGGATGCTGTACCTCAAAAAAAAAAGTTTCTTTCCACAAAACTGTGTGAAGAAAAGATGTATTCTAGACTTTGCCATGTTCAAGGTCTCAGTTCTGTGCATCCTTCAGCGGAATTGAATTTTCAGTTAATGGACTGACCTTTTTTAACCACTTGAGTGCCAGTTTTTAGTTTCTGAGTTGTTGTCTGTGTCAAAGATTTTAGAAACTAATGTTTCCAAGACTCCTAGAGAATATTGGGGAAAAAAGCAGCCTTGGAAATATTTTAATTTTTGTTAAAGTCCAAGTGTTAAATGCTTTGCTATATAGCAAACACATCCACATAACATTAAATAAGATTTTATTCTTTTTCAACAAATTGGGAATTGTATTTTCCACTAATTTTATTGCCACCATGAGAATTAAAAATGCATAATAAGATAGAAAATAATATGTTAAAGCTGCCTTTACATTGCCAAGCATAAAATTGTGACGAGGAAATGCTGATTCATTTTGGTTTTACTTACTGGCCTAAATGTAATCAAATGTAAATGTTTCAGGCCACCGGATGGCAACAGAACAAGCCATAACACAAAGCTGACCTGTCACCTGTAAGATGTTAGCAAACAGCTCCTAATGTGCACATTCAGCAGCTGTGAGGCAACATCAATGCTCATTTGAGTGGCGTTTCTGGCCATCTGATGAATTTAAGTTCACTTTACATTCTCCTTTGTCATTCTGGTTTGGACTTGACCAACTCCTGATGGAAAAATCTTTTTAAGCTACCAATAATACAGTACAGACATATGTGGGTTTCATTAGTGTGGGGGGTTTGGTGTGTCCATGTAAGCAAGTTTGGGAATAATTGCATGCGAGTGTGCTTCCCACATACAGATTGTTTTTAAGCTCTTAGTAGGCTTGAGCTGCATGAGGGATCATCTTTCCAAGGTTTTCTGTTCACAGTTCTAGGCTTGGACATTATTCGCGTGGGAGTTTTTGTTTATCTCTTATAATAGATACAAGGACAGGAACAGACTAGACTGGTCTCTCTTTCAGTCGGAGACCTGTTACTGTATGTATATTTAAAAAAAACCTGACTTATTTGTGTTCAGTAGGTGGTCCTCTATTTTCATGATTTACCTAGTAAGCAAGTCTTAAATCTTCAACAAGGACATGGGAAACAGTGAATATAGTCACAGGAGGGTTCTAATAAAGTCTGAAGTCAGAGGATTTGTGTCGGGGTGTGTTTTCAGTCATACCTCTGCACCCATAGCCCATGCAGCCAGCACATGGCGGCAGCGGTTGAGTTTGCCTGGTTTCATCTTGTCATCACAGGAGCCGCTGTAATCTGGAACATCATGGATATCCGGAGAACATTCAAACACCTCCATGTGATGCACGATGGCCTCGTTACCTGACGTTATCACAGCCTCATACTGACAGGAACAGAGAGAAAGAGAAGGACAAGTGATGAATAGAAAGTTTTGTTTTTATGAGTTTCCACTATTAAAGGTTTTGACAATTTTGCTACCTTAGAAAGGCATGTCAGCAGAACAAAGAGAAAATTGAATTAAGACAACATACTGTCCAGTACCATTCTACATCTTACTCTACTATATGTTTTTGTACCATAGCTGATCATAATTCAGCACAAGAAATATATGCACCAGAAGTGTTTTTCAGTGAAACATGGGGATGTGCGTTGATGTATGTGTAGATACATCATCTTTGATTTGTGTCTCTTCTTTATAAACATGACAATGCAGCTCATGTCTTTTCATTTTAGAGGCAGTTATACCATGACAATGTGGTTCTTCTGCATGTTTTCAGGCAGCTTCTGGATGAAGCACCAGTAGGTGGTCTCCTGATTTGGTATGATGACATTTGGCGCTATGACATCCAGTGTCTGCACATCTGGAGGCAGGGTGGGCGGCGGCGTGTCGGAGCGCAGCATCAGCACTCTCTGTACTCCTGTGTGGATCCGGGACAGGTTCAGTTGCTCCAGTGAGGAAAGTGGTTGATCTAAGAATCCATAGATGATGTGCACAGTTCCCTCCTGACCAAAACATTCAGAAAAGAAAGAGCGTGAGAGTAGAAGGCAGAACAGGAATAGGAGGGGGTTGGATTTCCAGTTAATAGTCTCATGATTATTTAACTGAAATGTCTAAGACAAACATGGAGAGCTTTTCATTATGTTGTCATAGTGATGTGCATTGGGTTTGTGGCACCATGGAGACTATAATCACTAAAATGAATGCTTCAGTTGTCACCGAGCTGATCAAACTTTGTGCATTTTATTGTGTTCACACCTGAAACCGTGAGCTCTCCACAATAATCACTCTTGCTTTTAGGCACGTTAAAAAAATTTCAAGAGCTAAGTCCTTAATATATAGAGAGTTTGGTCAACAGGTGTATTGCTCTGCTTGCTCTGGCAGTTTACACAGCTCAAGATGGAAACATTTGACATGAAGATTCCAGAGCAGGATTCCAGCAATATCAAACTGTGGGGAAACCAAGTGATTAGAATCCTATATTATTTGTCAGATCTTTGCCAACTGAATATTCAACAAAAGTGTGATTTTATTTTACTTTTTAAGATAAGAGACAGACTGAGCAGTACATGCAAAACGTAAATGATATCTACGCCAACTAATCCTCTCACTGAGGTTCTCATGAGTATGTCAACGTAGCGAGAAACATTGTTGCTGTTAACAAGTCCAAAGACTAAATTCATATTCATGCTCACACATTGAAACTAATAGAGCCACAGTCACCTCCACTAATATGTACACACACACTGTAAGAAAAAAAAAAGTCCTCCACTCATATGTACACACACACTAAAAAAAAATAAAAAGACTAAACACACCTCGATGACGTAATCTCTTGGATCACAGGTACTGAATGGTCTTTTGAAGAGCAGGTAGAATCCATCAGTTTTCTGTTTAGCTTCGATCAACTTGTAATCTTGCTGGCTGTCCAGTGAAACATGACCCGTGCTGTCGCTCCATGCATCCTGATGAAGGAAACAAAGAACCCCACGCAATATTAAAAATATAAAAACATAATGTTAAAAAAACAATTAAAAAGGCACAACAAAATATTTAAGAACATCTTTAATTCAAAACTTGCAGTATAGTCATGATTTTCAAGTGACACTATTGGACTGTGGACAGCCTTTACTTGCATTTTTAAGAAAAAGGTACAGAAAGTGCAGCTGGGCATAGCAGACATGGTTTTGCCAAGTGATTATGATACAATTAATGAAAAGAATTTACTGTGGTTTGTGTTTTGAAACCCTTACAAATCCAGTGTGCCAGATTTTTCTACTCTTCCCGGAGGTTTTGCTCAGTCTATCCACTTCTGTTATGTTTCTCACATATCTGTCCAGAATAGCACCTAAGATCACTCTTTATTTCCGTCTCCCTCTTATGTAACTGTTCTTCACAGTCGGCAAAGATTCTGAAGCCAACAATTTTGAAAATATATTCCCTGTACAGTAAATCTAAAAACTGTGGGCACTATACACAGAACGTGTTAGGCAATATGTCATGTGCAGAATCCACTTGCCATAATCTCTATACAGTCATATTGATTTTTTTTAAATTAAGTTCTAACAAGTACTTGCTAAATTTTAAGGGACTAAAAAGCAAAAAAACATTAAACCGACACCTGGAGAAGAAAGCCACCTGAATTTCCGTATCCAAAATGCTGAAGCCTCATCCGTGGATATATCAGTGAATGAGGACCCAAATGCAGACAAAACAAAAGTCTAGGTGAAGACACTAGGACTTTAATAAACAGACTATGAAAAACAAGCAACTAAGAAAATTAAGCCCTAAAGGGCTAAACATAGGAACATACAGAAACTTCAGAAGCTAAAAGAACAAAAACACAACTGACTACAAGTCCCTGTACACAGAAACACAAAATGCTCAAACCTGACTAAACATAACACAAAGGCAGCTAAAGAAGTGTTAACAAAAGGGCACCACCAGGGTGCAACCCACAAGAAACAGAAATAGCAAAGAGAAAAGAGATCATGTCAAATCAAATGCAGGAGGAAATAAAAACTGGAGTCTATAAAAAGTAAATAAGGCACAAGGAGCAGAAACACAGGTGAGACAGAACAGGAGTCACAAAACAGAGAAGCTTAGACACACCTGAGACCTATCTGAGAGAGGTGAGGTGACTGACAGGGCAACAGGTGTAAGCAATACAGGTCAATCAGAAGCAAAGTAAAGCTGAGGCAGGTTAGCATGACAAAACACTGGAAATAATGTCAAAATAAAAGCTCAAAACCGGAAGTCACTAAGGATCATGACACAGCCTTTTAGCTTCTGTCCCCATCACTTAAATTAGAATTGCTTTAGGGAGAGAGGAACAGTTTTAGTGTACAGATAGGCATGTGGCTATTGCTTTGAGACAGACTTGGGGGAAAAAAAAGTGAACCTATGAAACCTGCGCCAGGTTTTTTTTATTTTAATTTTAATTTGGGTTCTGAGCTGGAGCTGCAGTTTTAAGGGAGTGCCATTGTTTTATCCATTTAGAAGTTCTTGAAGGTGTCCTAAAAATCAGCTATGCTATATAAATCCCTTATGTCTTCCACCAATAATGTATTCAGTACATCTTTTACTGTCCAGCTCATTGGTTTACCTAGAAATAATGTGCCATACACTTGCAAATGTGCTTCAAAATGCACCAGAATGAAGACTTTTCATGACCTGATTTGAATACACTGATTTACAAAAGGATTTTAGAAATCCCTCAACTATAGAGCACATCTGCCTGGCTTTTTAAAAAGCAGTGTGCATGCATGAGAGAAAAATGAGTGAAAGTAAGGACTGTAGCGCAGCAGTGACCTTTTTATGGTGGTCATTTTATTCCCTCCTTTAAAGTTAAGGATTGTGTAGACTGGGATTTGAGTAACCAAAGGGAAATAAGGCAGAGTTTATAATGTAGAAAGGCTAATGTCCATATAAATATCTCCCATCATGCACCTACTACAGAAATTTTGCTCAGAAATATTTGAATCTAGTTTATTCTGAAACAATTGTACAAAACCAACCAAATATAAAAGTGTGTGAATATATAGAAAAGTCCTCAATATTGCCAGCACATAAATACACAAGGGCTTTATTTTCCTGCCAGTGTGGCTTCAAATGCAGTCTTTTGCAATTCAAGTCTATTTTTTACACATTTTCTGCCATGAATGAATGTGCTTACATTGAGGTGGGAGCACAGATGCAGCTGATTAGGCAGCACCACGCAATTTAGGTGTTCATTTTCACTCAAAAGTGCGTTTGTGATAAAACCTGCTCAAATCACTTTTTTTGGAAAACCGTATATATGAATATGCTTGAACGGGACTGGCACACTTTGTAGGGGATGCAGCTTTGAGTAGGTCATGATATATATATAAAATTGCTGCTGGTTACTTCTAAGGTTAAACTTAAGGGGACCCAAATCCTGACAGAACACAAGGCCTGAGAAGAAGAAAAAAAAAGTATTTAATAAGGAAACCGAGTAACAAAACAAGTAACAGAGCTACAAGCCACCAACAAGTAGAGCAGCAAAAGAACTAAACCTTTGGCAGCAGCATAAAACCCAAAAATAAACTCAGACCTGAGTGAACAAAACTAGAGAAAACAAAATAACAGCAAAGCTAAGGAGCTAAGTATAGAAACTAAGAACCAAGAACTAATAAACTAAGAATGAAACAAACCAGGTGCAAGAGCAAAACATCAGAGTCCACAAAACAAAGAATGACTCACAAGGCAAATAATAGCTGTCCAATGATGCAAGTGAAAATATTAAAAAATTAACCAGCAATGAACTGATCATGGTGAGGTGAATATAAAGGAAAACCAGGCAGAGATAATGAACAACAGGTGAAAGTTATCAGTTAATCGCTGGACAAGATAAAGGCGGGGCAGCTGAGGGTACAAGTAGCAGGAAGTATCTTCAATAAAAGAGCTAAACAGGAAGTCTTTGGGGGATCATGATAGTTACAGTACCAAAGTTTTTCTTTCTTCCATGCACAAAATCTGGTCAGTCAAGTTAGCAGAATAGTGAGTGAATATTTATGTGCAATACTTCTACAATAAATTCTTTTCTCATGACAACTGAGGAATGACAAAATTAGTTGGAGGTCATTGTGACTCACCTCATGGAAAATCAATCAAAATCAGGTTCCCTGTGGTGCTTTTAAAGGGGATGAGAGGAGCTGGTTTGATTGGCTATTACTAAAAATGCATTCCTTCCACTAACAATGTATTCAGCTTCCCTTCCACGCTGCTCCTGGTTGTGCCTGGTTGCACCCAATATGCGGCAGCATTGGTGGTCTCCAAAACTGCAATACATTGCTGACACGTCAATATACACCTTGGCCTGGAGTTTAGGCTTGCGTTTGCCTCTTTGCCCTATTTCAGGAAAGTAGATCCCTACAGTAAGTGTCTTGTCTGAACATGAACTTATGAGACATGTCATGCTCATATGTCATATATGTGTATCCTTAGAGTGGCATCTGGATTCCTGTGTGCTCCCTCTGGTCCCGCATTAAATCACAGTAGAGACCCACAGCAAAGGTTCTTTTCTGTGATTTATCTCTGCTGAACAAAATAAAACTTTATATGTGCAGTTGACTGCACATTCTCTGTTTTAAAAAATGCCTGGTTTTATCCCAAGTCTATCAGTCAGCACTAAACAAAAGGGTATCTAATACAGTTTACACTGTGTCAACTCCATTACCCATTACCATGGTGACAGAGCTGCTAATGAATGCTACAAGGCATGATGTCTTTCTCAGTCACAAGCAAAAACATATTTTAGCTTCAGATGTTTTATTATTAATAATAAAATTGGTAATAGTTGGCAAAAATAAAGTTGAGACTTTATATGATATCTGCAATGGCAGATCCTGACACCCAGTCTGTCTCTTTCTCATATTCCAGTGCATGAATTTGCATATGGCGCCTGCCAGCAGAAAATAAAATGATTTTAAGGTTAGTTTTTAAGTTTTATTTACTGTACTAAAGTGGACCCATAAGGTGAACAAGATTGAAAGAGCCACTGAAGGAACAGTTACATAGTCCCTAATGCAACCAGTATATAACTTTTTCACTCCATTTTTTGTCTTCATACACACACAGGTCTTGCAGCACAGTATAAAACTGAATTTATTATTGTTCTTTACTGATTATTCTGCATGGTGGAGTAATAGAGTAATGTGCCTTTGGGAACAAAGAGGGTAAAGTGATACTGTACTTAACTTAACTTAGAATCTGAAATCAACCCTTACATTCTCTCTGAATTGAAACAGGCAGGCCACTGTCATGAAACCACACAGGTTCATTAATAACTGGCTTTTGACACATTTATATACAGTAAATTTTGCATACTAGACTTTGACAAACCAAAAGTGAATCTTATAAAAACAGGCCCCTCAAGGTCCCAGTGTTTTTCAGCTCATTAATGTACCAACATTTACAACCAGTCAGATGGATAGACACAGTCTCAGGTCTTATGTGAAAACATAACACAAAGTAGAGAGAGAATGTTTGCCCAGGAAAGAAGAATCTTAGATCATTTTATTAAATTGCAGTGAATTAGGATTCACTTTGCTTACAGTTTCTGTATTTTTTCACATAAACATTATAATTGCAATATGGAAACAATGGACTGGAAAGGAATGTAAATGTGATTTTTGTAGTTTCTCTTTTTTTTCAGAAAAATGTATCAGTAAATTACAGAAAACAATCTCAGTTGGATTTTTTAAAAAGGCTTGTGTGTTGCAAAATGAAAACGGGGCATTTCACACATCTTAATCGGCACGTGATTCAATTTTGATATGCTAATATCTGCTAATGATTCCCCAGTGAACTTCAGCTATTAGTGCAGTTTGAGTGATTTCCAATTAGCAGGGTCTGATAACATCCTTTGTGGCTATGTGCTCATGAAGCACGCTGTCTGCTGACTCCTCGTGCAAAAACATCAATCTCAAGCCCCAGGGAGCTCAGACAGATGTGTAACACTAAAAGGGGGAAATCGCCACTTCTTAAGGACTTTCATGCAATCCCCATGTATTTATGAATTTGACAAGTGAACATAGAGAAAGATTTTGGGAGATAGTGAGAATGACTTTTTTGCACTTTCTGTTTAGAACTTAACTTTTTAGAGGAAAGTCTTGCTGTATGTCAGCCTGACATTTATAAAGTTAACATAGAGTCTTTTGCATTCGCCATTTGAAAGACATTATACAAAGAACACACACATTCAGGCTTGCTTACCCCAAAGTAGCTCTTTGTTCCAGAGTCCCACAGCACCACCAGGTCAGCATTGTTCAGCTCACCGCGGTCGGACATCCCCAGGACCACGCCGTGTCTGAGCTCTGTGACCCTCAGCTGCATGTAAACCTCCTGGTCAGCATAACTGATGTTCCAAGCCAGCTGAAGCTCCCCCCGTGGGTCAAGTGGTACACGGAAGGGCATAGGGAGATGCGGGACAGGGGTTGAGGGGTTTGATTTAGACCTGGATACTTCAACAGTGTTGGTGGGTGCCTGATAGGAAGCCACCAAGATGACCATTAGAGCAGCCAGGGCAGTGAAGTAGACGATGGTGACATCTTGAAGGCGAAGGTGTTTATTGAAGATCCGCATAGCCCCAGTGATGGATCTCAAGCTTCAGTGCAGACAAATTCTCGTTTTCTCTTCACCTGTCTATTCTGAAGAGTTACAAGTAAAGTTTTTCTCCCATGCTCATCTAACAATACTGTACTTCCGTATAAGCTGTAACCCTCCAAACTCAAAACACTCGCTGGCTTTGTTTGTCTTGTCAGCTCTGCTCTGCTTTCCCTTGCAGTGAGGAGAGAGGTTGTTGCTTTCTATCCTCTCAGGCCCTCATTTTCTGAAAAGTTTGACTTTCCTGACTAACTTCCAAGTCTTTAGATTTTTCTGTTTCCAAGTCCTTGTGGGTATTGTCTTTTTCCTCTGAGCAACAGTTCTGCCTCTCCCTCTGTCTCATCCCCCTCATTGGTTTTTAAGAGACTCCTCCCTTTGTAGTTGTCTGTTTTTACCCAGCCTAATGGCATTACCTTTGTTGAGGAAAATTTGATTGTATTCTTTAAGCCCTGGGGTCATCAGTGATCCTGCACATCTGCCAGCCCCTAATTGATCCAAATTCAACCATGGACATGATCAACAACGATCGGCTTTGACTAACAAAACTTTATTGCTCGCTCCATCTCCGTCTTGTTTTTTTTTTGCTTTGGAGAGCACGCATCATATATTTCCTTGTACATTTCCTGACAAAAGATATTCCAAGCACTCTACTTCTCACTTTCGAGTATTTGATTAAAAGTGGATTTAGGGGACAGCAAGAACTCGTGGATGAGTAAACAAGACATTAATGCATTAGGCCCGATACTTAAGCCACCGCCTAAGGCTGCAGAAGACCTAATCTAACTGTCAGTTATGGGTTTCAAAAGTAAGTGGGACACATTTGGTTGGTTTAAAAGGTTAGTGTGAAGCCCCTGTAGAAAAGTGTGTGTGCTTATGTTTGTCAGTGTGTGTTGGTTAAAAACAAACAGGCAAGTTACAGTAGACTGAACAAATATGGGACAAATATTTCAAGAGAAATTAAGTACTGCTCTTGGTCTTTGGCTAAGCTAATCTTAGCATAACGTTTTATGTTGGATTCCATGAGTTGTAAGAAGTAATGTAACACATATTTACCCAGAAAACCACAACTTATTGTTTTACACTTTGGTTTTGCAACAGATTAAACAAATGTGATGCAGTATGATGAGTTAATTAGTGAGCTTTGAGGTGTTGGTTGTTGGACCATTGTACAATGCCAGGACAGTGCTATAGCCAAAACTGAAGTACAGAGGTAAAGTCAACAAAGCAGAATAAAGATGTAAAGAGCCAACGGCCTGCAGATTTAATTCCAGATGACCACCTGTTCAGGTGACTGCCCTGATAAGTTCTTTGGCTCTACATGAATGGAGTGTTAATTAGCTGTTGACTATTTGGTTGGGAGGAAAACCTGCAGACTGTAGGCCTGCCATAGTACCCAGCTGCCAACCCACCCAATTAAGCTTTAATTAGGTTACTCAGACAGTGACAAACATAGGATGGATGTTGGATGAACACTTTACAGAAAATGCAAAGATCATTTATTTTTATCATTCTAAGGGGATGAGTCAATAAATTCCACATGTTCCTGTGAATTCTGGATGAAACTAAACTCTAATCAAATGTGCTGTAGGGTGAAATATTCTACATGTGTGGGATTCAATTTTGTACATGATGTAAAACCACTGTGCCCTTTTTCTGGAACAGGCTTATAAGGGGAAAGGTTTGAATCTGAACAGAAAAGAGAGAACAGAACAGAAAGGCCTAGACTGGTGTCGAGTTGGTTAATGTAATAAAGAGAGAGAGTCCCTGAGGCAATATCTGTGATTTGTGTGTTCTTCAAATGTCTCTGGTCCACACAAGGCTCAATAATTTTCTCTCAGACTCTGTATGTCTTTGTATATGGCCAACAATTGTTCCTTTTTTATCTTTTACACCATCACATTTCTACATCTTTTCCAGCCTACCTCTATTCTATTGCACTGCAGGAGGTATACTGTATATCTGTGAGCACTGCAACATTTTATACAGACACTACATCACAGATACATAAATGTTGGTTTTAGCTATTCACAGAATTGCAATTGTTCATAGATTTGCCAGTAGTAGGACAAAATAACATTATAGTAACATCTTTCAATGCAATTAATCATAAAACAAAAACACCAGAATGTACAACATTAATTGTTAGGAGAGGTGTGACTCAACAAACATGCTTCACAAAAAGCATGGCTGGATAAACCTGATGGGAAGCCCAAGGTCACAGTTTTCTGTATGGCCCCCATTGAACCCCTCCCCACCTTTGCCATCTTTAAGTTCCAATTAACTAAGCACACTATATATGACAGCTTCATGGTATGACCAGAGATGCAGAGACCAAACAGTATTCCAGTTATTTGATTAAACACAGTTTAATTTAGAAATATGCATCATGTGACTTGTATTCTTCTAGTGTTAAAACTAAATTGTTACACAGGATCCCCCTCTATAAGTCACGTTGTGTTTTCCTCCACCAGTTTTTATGAGAATTTTCTGTACATAAAAAAACGGAAGGTTAAAAGGGCTAAAAAGAAAGAAAACAAAGCAAAATGGAACTGTTTCACTCACATCATCTCTCCTTCTGCAGTGGCTCCATGACACCAGACTGGGGAATTAGCGCCACCAGCTGTTTTTCCTCAATGAGCAAACTCTTAATATTTGTATAACAGTAAATGACAGAAATCTGTGTTCATTCATGTTTTTCTTTGCTAGGTTTGTGCAAAATTGATTACATTTGAAACATGCAGTTTTGGTTGCAGTTGGTAACACTAATCATCATGGGATGCTAAAGCTATAACAGCAAAACAAGGGGTGTTTTACTGCTTATATAAATTAAATAAAAAGTTGAAACTAGAATTTATATTTTTTAAGTGATTTTTTATTTATATAAAAAAAACAAAAGCT